TTATAAATATATTTTCTTCTTTATCATTTATCATCTGTAAAAAGGCTACCGTTAAATCTGAGTCCGTTCTATATAGCGAAGGATTTTCAATAATCATTAAGCCTACACAAACCTCAAAAGTTTGACGTTGTTCTATGTCGCCAGTCTGCGTAGTCGTATTTTACTACTAGAACAAGGCCATATTCGGCATCAATTCTTTTTTATAATTTCCTTCAGTCGCCTCTTACGATATATGCCTTGCGTGAGATAAGGTTTCAGGGCCTGACTCTTTTGGGCCACCTCTACACGACAAAATATGTGTTACTTTCACTCAAATCGATTAAAGCGAGTATAGAAAAAATATGAGTTGTAATATCATGTCGCTAAATGAGTAAAAAATCAATTTTATTTATTACTTACTTTAACAGCCCTTTATAACCGACTGTTGGATGTCTCTGTGGGAAATTTTTCTTTAGAAAAAAAATCTTTTTACGTCTGTAAAGAAAAACATTTTAGTCTTCTCTTGCTAATTATATAACGGGTCATCTCAGCTCACTTGCAATCTTTGACTGTATTTTGATAACGATTATCTTTATTTGGCAATAGACAGTACGAGCCCATTTTATGTACAATTTTAAATTAAGGCATATACAGCCAAAGTTAAGTCGAAATAGCCTATTGCGTCTTTATTTGGCCGACTTGGCAAATCTTTCCGATCGACCGCCGACGCCACAGAGTCTGGTGAATTTCGTAAAGGACTGGAGGGAGGGGGATATCCCTCGAATCAGGTCAGCGCGCTTTTTCGTCTTATGGGTGCGCGAGACGGGGCGGCGGCGTTCGAAACATAAAGCCTTGAGAATGGATGACATAGTGTAGACCCATTTGCAACTGTGCGATTAAAAGTAAAAGAGCGTGACATTCATATATACAACAGCGGAAAATGCTCGAATATTTTACGGTTTTGTTTAGAACGTGCTATGAGAGTAAAATGTATGAATATAGTTTTTTATTCCCATTAAAATGAACGCACCATGTGTGCCGCTTTATCCGCTAGTGGCATGTTTGTCCGCTTTTTGTTATTATAATCTATGCAGATTTTGATAAGGGTGGCGTGCTATTAAACGGATGGTACAGTTTTTGTTAAGAACTTTATAACAAAGTCTTTACAATTATTCTTGTTGAAAATTTAATTTAAAAATTGGATATAAACATTATTACCACTAATATGTAAACAGTGACCCGTGACACCAAAGCATAAGGACAAAACATTAACCAAAGAAAGAATGAGAGGAATAGTTTTAAGTTGAGGACTTTTCTGCATAGGAACTATTACTAAACGATGTCAACGATGTGGTAGCCATTTTGTGAGCTTGCTCCTATGCTGGCACTACTAAGCTTTTTAAAAAATCGGAGAAGGGTATAATTTTAAAGACAGCTTCCTACCCGTGTAGAGAAAAGGTGAACTTTCATTTAAAACCTAGGTATATTTTAAGTTAAAAGAAAATATAGTAAGAAACTACCAATTCCTAAACCTGCAGAAGACTTCCCTGGTATCATAGCTGCAGCAAAAGAAATTTTGTAAGCTACCTATTTATCTCCTATTTTTATAACAAGAGCGAAAATTAAGTTACGAGTTATGATTATGATTATATTATAGTTATAATTATGAAATAAGAAAAGATGAAAACATGTTCATATTTTCTCTTCACTGTTATTGAACTCCACTTCTTATAATCTAAAGTGTCTTCTTATAATGTTTAGCTCATTATGAAGATGTTTAGCTAATTCAGACAGAAACGCGTAGGTGTCGCTGTAAGGGCATGGTTTGAAGGTTGTATTATACGTAACTACACGTGTCATCGTGATACGTGATTATTTTTAGATACTATTAGATAGATGGAATAAACAAGGACTGTTAAAACTTAAAAGGAAACAACATTTCGTTTATTAAGCAACACTTTATGATATATACTTGTTTCCCGAAGAGGCTCCACAGAAAGTGGTCAGGACCGTTTAAAAAAGAGATTCATTATCACAACCAAGCGCAATCGTTCAGCGGCAATCGCCGAAGGTCAGAGGTACATTGAACCTAAACGTTAAGTTGGATATAAAAGAAGGCGCTCAAGCGATTAGCTTATTAATTAAGCGGGGTTTTTCAGGAAAAGTGTCATTCATATATTTGTTGCAAATGAAAAAGATTTCTAGTTATGCGGGTAATTTTATCAGGTTATTTTCTATTTCGCGAATAATCTTCGTGAATGTAAATAAAACCCTAACTGGTCCTCTTAGCAATAAACTTTAATAATTTAAACGTTGAACTGCATCTCTATCTCTTTCGTCTTACTTGCGTTCACTTTCATTCCCCTTTCTTTTAATGCCCAGTTCATTAATGAAACCATCATTTGCAACTCAGCTGCCGACGACGCAAATATGACTTGATCATCGGCGTAAAAAAGGCATTTGACTCGCCCATTCTTAACCCACATTCTTCAACTTTCAAATTTTCCAAACAACTGTCCATAAATAGGTTGAACAGCCAAGGGGAAGCTACACAGCCCTGTCCGACACCTTTTTGGATGCCAAACCAGTCAGAGTAGACCCCGTTGATTCTGACACAAGCACTAGAGTCCCTATAAAGAGACCTTAATGCCTGTATCAAACAAGCGCTCAACCCAAATGAGTTCATTGTTTGCCATAACACAGTCCACTCCACTCTGTCATAGGCCTTTTCCAAGTCCATGAACACACAAATAACTTTCTGGTTTTTAGCCAAAAACTTCTCCGCAATCATGCGCATTACCCTTTCTAAATCCCGCTTGCACATCCCAAATTTGTCCATCAGTTTCTTTCATAACTCTTTCAAATAACACCTTAGCATACAGTTTACCCACAACACTTTTTTCCTAAACAAGATAACCAAAAACCGTTTACCATAAGCATATCCACAAGCTCTGGATATAATATGGCAGTTGATGAATAGTTTTTTTTTAGAAAAGAATACTAAATACACTACTATTATTACTAACACTCGAACCACTCTAATCCCATAGTTAAGAGTGGTTCAAGTCAGTTTGTGTTAAGAGTGGTTCAAGACAGTTTTAGAATGCGGGATTCGAACGTATGACTTTTCAAGTCTTCAGTCTGCACTCTTAATCTGACCGTCGATTCAAAGTTTGCCTTAGATCTAATATTAGTACCAAATTGCAGTTTATGGGGAGGCATATGACCATATGAGGAGTTTGTCGAGGCGCGGCCATTCCGAATATATACCTCACATGAATTTGATTTTTTTAAATAATAATATAGTTGTAAAATTATTTTTATTAGTATCGTGTGTTCTACGTGTTCTACCGAGCTAGAAAACATGAGCTGGAAGTAAGTTTCTATGATATTCTCACTATATTTCCCTTTTATTGATCATGTGGTAAAACAGCACCTAAAATGGGGATTAACATTAGTAATGGCGTAACGGATGAACTAAAGGCTCAAACCCAACCACTACTTTTCAAGCACTTTTTTCCTTGAGCACTAAAATGAAACGCCTCATAGTTATTATACTGGCTCTCTGATCTCTCGTAACACTGGACGGTGCTTTGTTGTTTCACCACAGAAAAAGATGAAGTCCATATAAAAAATAACATGTGTGCAGTTCACATGTGATGAAAGTGAAAACTTCAGAAAATTGCAGGTAAAATTGCTTTGTAATAGCTCCATCTAGTTCATTCTATAGGTAGTCATTTTATCGAACAAAAATTGATTGACTCTCAAGGTGGTACGTAAAACAGACTAATTTCTTCTTTTTTTTTATAAAAACGTTACCTTCACACTAGGATTTTCTCCTGTATCGTGAGGGCAGTTTACAAACACAAATTTCACAAGGACAAACATCCAGACCCGGACCAATTACTTGTAGGCCATACAAATACTTGTTCCGTTCCACTGTGTCACAGTGACCGAGTGAAGCCGGCCACAGTCGAGCGTGTGCCTGCTGTACTACCGTATGTCAGAGGTGTCACAGACAAGATTGGCTATATCTTGAAGCGAGCTTCTATTAGAACATTCTACAAGCCGCCGAAGAAGATTAGTCAGTTCCTACCATCCGTCAAGTGTCATATTTCTCTACAAGATGCAGGAGTGTACAAGCTTGATTGTGAATGTGGTCTCTCTTATATAGGACAAACAAAAAGATCAATTAGGACCCGCGTAAAAGAACATATAGCTGATGTGAAGCATCAACGTTCCGGGAAGTCTGCAGTTTGTGATCATATCCTAGACGGACCCAACCATTACATCAGATTTGATAGACCACAAATCCTCGCGAAAGAACACCGATTCCTACCAAGGATGATACGTGAAGCTATTGAAATTAAAAAACATCCTAATTTCAATAGAGAAGGAGGCTGGGTACTACCACCTGCTTGGGATCCTATAATCAATAAAATTAAAACTAAACCCAAGCATACCACTGCAAGACCTCAGGACATAGTCAGTTCATTTTGCATAGATCGGACCATAAACAATAATTAAAAAAGCTGAAGGTACTCCGGGTTTAACAATGACAACGGGACGTCAGTCATCTCAGTCCCCCGTGACCATGGGTGCTGGAAAGCGCCCGAAACGTCGGGAATTAAAAATAAAAGTAAATAAAAAGTAAAAATAAACGCGATAAAATCCGTAAAAGTAGTTTTAATCATGTATAGTGTTCGCGTAAATATAAGAAATCATTATATAAATCAGTAAGTTATAAAATCTTATGAATGGATTGGATATTATAGTTTTATACAATATGTTTAATTTTGTTTATTTTAAAAAGTTAACCATCTTTATAACACCGCATAAAGAGGAGATAGAGATAATAGGAAACACTGTATACTGTATTCTATCTCGTTCTTTCGCAGGGTAAATCCTATAAATGTATATGTTTGTCTCTTTTTACTGTTGCTTTTTCGATTCATCGACTTTCAGATCATAACGATTCTAAAGAGGTTTCACTTCAATAAATAAATTCTAAAATATAGAAGATGAGCGGTTACGGCGGCCTGCCGAGCGGTGGTGCCGACTCGGACGTGCTGTCGCGGCGGCTGCGTGACGCAGAACGCGCACGTGCGGACGCTGAACGTGCGCACGCCGACGCGCTGTCGCAGCTGCGGGCCGCGCAACGCTCACCGCTCGACTCGCACAATATAGAGCAGCTGCAGTCCCGAGTTCGAGAGCTGGAGAAAAAGGTAACACAAGTGAATACGTTGTTAGAATAGTAATTCCGATATATGTGTGATAGAAATGAATATGTTGATGTAAGTCCACGTGGTGGTAAGTGACGCATCACCTGAAACCAATTTCATACAAAACTACAGATACGTTGTCACCTTTGAGGAAATGGAAAAATCTTCAAAGCTCGTAAATATACTGGCCACAAATAGAAACGTAACACAGGAATGGCTGCTGCATAGCGACAGAAATTAGTAAGAAGTTATCTGTCCGTCTAAACGCAGAAAATAAATTTCTTATTTTTTTTTAAATTAGGACCTCATCAGCTTATGATATCAACTTATACTACAAGAAATTTCGGATCTTTTTGATGTAAGTTACTCGTATTGAATTTATTGTGAAATGTCAAATCCGTATTAACTTTAACTTGGTCCATCATCACATCAGTCTTATGGTACTATGCCAGTAAGTGCCTCGAAAATTGATTACATAATTTGAATCGGAAAATCATACAAACAAAGCGACTCGCTATATATATATATACATCTCACAATAAATGCAACACGAGTAACTTTATATATATATTTTATATATATATATATATATATATATATATATATATATATATATATATATATATATATATATATATATATACAACACTTTTAGTATTAATATAAGATAAATTTTGATGTTAGATTTTTTTTAAATCAAACTAGTGATCCGCTCCGGCTTCGCGTGGGTGATTTTTTTGGATCTCGACAAAAGCGCTACCTATGTCCAATCGGGTATCAATTGTCCAAAATCTAACCTTTCAGTGACCCACTTAAACAAACACAAAAAAATTCATCAAAATTGGTCGAACCGTTTTAGAGTTTTAGCGTGACTGACGGACTGTAATTTGTTTACAGTGTAAACAAATAATCATGTATATATGTATCCTGTAAACTTTACAGGATACATATATACATGATTATTTTTCAAAAAGTAGCCAAATTTTAAACTTAAGTTCAAATACATAAATAATGATATTATAATATTAATTAATTATGATAATGATATACCGTTATTGTAGTTTTTTTAAATACGGGTAATTTAATTGAAACTACCGGTCGCCTGCGACTTCGTCCGCGTACAATTTTTGATTTCCTATGACATTATGAAATTTTGTAGCTGCAAAAGGCCTAGCTATATAGAGGCTATATAAAGCTTATGCAAATATTTATTACAAGTTGATGATGCAGTAATGTTGTTATCCCGTCGAGTTTTAAATATCCTTAAAGGGCTAAGTAATCAGTGTATGTGTTCAAGAGGAAACAGTATTCATACCACGAATACCTAATACCTTCAGAATACCCCTTTGAGTTTCACATTCCAGGCTATTTCCATGCGGATCCACAAAATATTGTGCATCCTTTGACGACATTTTTATTGCTTCCTTGTTTTTGGCCTACATGATAATAAATAATATATTTTTAAGGAATGTTTGTCTTTATTTAAGGACCTCTTTGTATACAACATTTGTGGTACGGCTCTCGTGTGCTAAAATTACCAGACTACTTGCTGCATTTACTCTCGAACAGGTTTACACCAAAAACGAAAACTGTCCCCGAGGAAAGCAGCTCTCCCTTAAGTCTAATCCAACCATTTTCAGTGACTGACTATGACTATGATGGTATTAAAGGTATTCGTGGTATGAAAACTGATTTTCCTTGAGCACATTCGGTGATTACTTTTGCCTCTTAAACATTTATATGGAGAGCTGTTATTTGTAGTCCGGTACCATATAACCGATGCGCCCAGTTTAAGGGTAAGAATATAAGCTGGAAAGCCTGCTGAGTTAAGGGTATTTAAAAACTCGAAGGGATAATTTACTGCGTCATCAACTTGTATCACAGGATCCACAGATTTATATCTGATTTCTTCCCCTTCACATGATTTTAGCAAAACATCTTTAATATGTATTACCCGCTGTGTCATTTTTCGGCACAACGTAGAACGCTCGCATAACCAGTTTACGGGTTTTGTTGTAATATTATCGATGTCAGGGTAAACTTTGGCGGTAAGCTCTGCAAGAGTTTTTACTATTATGGCTAGACTTGGTGGTATTTATTACAACTTTACTATCTACTGTAGGATAATCTCCATACCCTATTTGAATTAAAATCTATGCAAACTGACCAGCTCTCATATTTGTCTTAAGAGCAAACTTATGAATATGAGACCAAAAATTTGAAGACTATAAACACGACCTTATTTCATCGACTCATGTTCCCTTTGGTACTACCGGTAAGGTTTCTCGAAAGTCTACCGCTGAAAGAACTGTAACACCACCCATCAGTGTCCCATTTTCTCTTATTGTTCTGCTAAGCTTAATGTTCTGCTGAGATCCGCTACGGCTCCTTTATGGGCCATAGTGCACTCATCCCATACAATAAGTTTTGTTTCTTTCAAAACTTGCGCCATATTTCTCTGCTTTGAAATGTTGCATAGAGGTATCTCTACATGCATCAAATTTAAAAGCAAATGAAATGTAGAATGAGCTGTCTTATAACCATCCAGCAACGTCGCTGCAATACCGAAAAAAAGAACTGCCAAAGGTATTCCGTGATTTTGGCTAATAATCGTTTATGTATTGTGAAGTGGCAATTGTGGGGCTGCCTCGTTGGTCTAGTATAGTTCAAAGCCCGCGTCGCGTCAATATCCAAGTTATTGGCGTTTTGTCAAGGAATTTCTAACAGCAGTCCGAAGTTATCAACGGAGTAGTCATGCTTACCGTATTATGGTCAGACAAGTAGACGAGAGAGAGTTTGAACAATTTATACACTAACATTTATGGTGTGCACAGTCGGGGTTTGATTTTTTTAAACGCATCAGCCTTCTCTGATCCGCAATTATTTGAGACTTTTAATGCGAGTGTATAAAATATCTGTAAGCTATCATATTTACCATCTTAAATCCCAATTAACTCAATTGACACTAGGTGGAATCTCGATCAAACGTTGTCTTATTAACGATAAAAACATAAAACCTATGTACCTATAGTAATTACTAAATCGCATTTATTATTTTAATTTTGCTCCCAGGCTGCTTTAGAGACAGTTCGTTGCGAAGAATTGCAACTGGAATTGTCTTCTGCATTGCGTGCGCGAGGCACGTCCACATCGGCCACATGGTCCACGCAAGCAGGACAGCCTGTCTCCGAGATAGAGCGCATTATGGCTAAGATCGAACAGGATAACCGAATACTTGCTGAACTGGAACATACTAGATCAACAACGCATGGTAAGCTGAAAAAAAAGGGAAGAAAGCTTCTGATATTTTTTGTAAAAACATGACAAAGATTAAGATTAAAGGTTTAAAACTTATTCAAACAAATTTGGAATTTTTGTTTTGAAATAACTTTTTCTTTTACTTTCAAAACATCATAATACGCTAGTAATATATAAGTCAATGTCATAATATAAATAATCGTGCAACTGATGCATAAAGGTTAATGTAATTAAAAAGTAAAATAATAACCTATTACGTTCCATTACTAAGCACAAACCACGTAAATTTTTTGTTGGTCGGGATGTCTGGTCAAGAAGAAATCTGTTGCGCTACCACAGTGATAGACTTGTTATCATATCTTTGACATATTTTTATATTTATTTAACTTGCAAATGTCGTCACGACTGCCGAGCACATGATAAATTGGCACCTTAATTTGCAATTACACTGGTGCTGGCGGAGTTCGAAATAGCGCAGATTAATCGCTTTCTATTAGATTTAAGGCAAGCGCTTATCTATTGACATTTTCTGCATAATATGATAAATTCTCTTATGATCTTGGAAAATTAAGTAGAAAATCTTTTTTTTCCAGAAAATATTTTTATAATCACATAACTTTTAAATACAGGTATGCAGTCAAGTGGATCGAATCAAGCTTTGGGAGAGTTTCACTCGCCAACACATTCACCATTGCCGCACTCTTACACGAGTACGTCGGGCCACGTAGCTCTTTGTCAGAGCAATACAATGCCAACGTTATCGTCCCTCCATGCTACCGGACAATTTACTGCACCCAGCTCCAATTCCGTTGCCTATTCCATGAGTGCCCATAATCCAACTTCTTATTCCAATCCTATACCTTCTTACTCCACAAATACCTACGGTTTGCCCAACGCACAGCAAGTTACCTTCAATAATCCCGTCACCGCTCCTCTTATTAACAGTATAAGCCAAATTTCTAGCACTCTGGCTGGTCTACAGAGTAACCTACAAACTATGACCGGTAACGTTTCGGCCATGTCTCTTGGTGGAACTTTGGCTGGATCAACGCTAACGGGAACGATGGCCGGTTCAGGGCTAACAAGCTGTTTAAATACCGCGCAAAGCTCCATTCCTGGAACGATAAGTCACACTCTCGGATTGCAATCGTCACTTACTGGAGGAATAGGAAATATTTCAAACTTAACTACCGGCACTCAACTTGGTGCTCTCAACACAAACCTTACTGGGACCGGAGCTTATGGTACGGGGGCCGGCACCTATACTAATCCATTGCTTACTGGCGGCTTGCCTGGAAACTCAATGAACATAAAACTGAAACCATTGGATGAAATTGATCTTGGCTTAGGTAGATACGGGACTAATACTTCAAATATGGTTAGAGTAGCAACCCCTGTAACGCCGCACCAACCCACGTGGAACTTAGGGCTAGATAGCCAATTCGGAACTGATAGACTAGGTGGATTGGAAACGGGATTTAGCCATGATCGAAACCAAAGGGGTTTATCCAGAATGATGCCTAATTCTGGATTGGATCTAGACGGTTAGTAACATTCATCACAGTTAGCGCGTATTATAAATCACAGAATTATAAAGAACACATTACCAAATTACAGTTCGAAATACTCATTTCATGAACGGAGGAGCATCAACAGAGGGTCAAGTTGATATGTTAGACATTCCGAGTAAAGGTCGCTGCAGTGTTTATATGGCTCGTTATTCTTACGAACCTCCTGAGTAAGTACAAACTAAAAAAAATCTTATAACAGTATTTATTACCAACAAAAAGAACAATATAACAGGTCAGTTATTCTTTTAGCATTGAAAGTGCAGACGGTGAAATGTCGCTTAATGCCGGTGATCACGTTATTGTTTGGGGACCGCACGATGCAAACGCCACCATGCTAGACGCTGAAACACTGGATGGACGCCGAGGGCTAGTACCAGCCAATTTTGTTCAAAGGCTTGTTGGGGACGATCTTCTAGACTTTCATCAGGTATATTTGATCTATGAATAGTTAACATTTTATGAGTCCTATAAAACCTTTCGTGATAAAAATATTTTTTTTTTAATTTATACAAATAAGCCAATAGGCTAAAAAATCGGATTGCTTTATTTCAATAAATAGTACTATTCGCAGGCTGTATTGACGACGTTACGAGATGCAGACGAGTCTGCCACAACCGCTATAAGTGACTTATCTCTCAGTCGTGATGTTGCACGTCTTAGTGAAATGGCTGACATAAGTGAAGGACCAGAAGATGATGATAATGGTAAGTATACTTTTCATACAGCAAAATTTTGTCAGTCTCTTAATCCCACGATTTCAATTTAGATTCATGCTAACATAAATAATAACTTGATAGTTCCAATTCACAGCTAGTTTCATTTTTGTTTTTCTAGTAGCAATTCCTTTATCATCGTCATTTCTTTATTTATTATAATATTAATATTAAATTATTAAAATATTGCATGATTTTTACTATCCTTATGGTGCTATAATTATATATAAATTTGGGAAGAAATACAGCTTAAAATTTTAAACACGCAAATATTACGTAGAATATAGTTCTATAGCCAAACCTTTGTCCTTCCTTATCCACTCCATCCTGTAACAAATGGACTTCGCCACACGCTTCTTCGCATATCACACGCACTTCGCCTGCCTGGCTGCACTTCCTCCCGCGATCTGCCCTCGAACCTCAACAGCCGAGCTGTTTTTCTCGTCGCTAGTGCCTGCTCCGCGGCAGCTCACACTCGAGAGGCAGCTCAACAAGTCAGTGCTGATCGGCTGGACATCGCCGGAAGGAGTCCAACAGGCCAACATTGAGAGCTACCACGTTTACGTCGATGGTGTCCTGAAAACTACTGTCAAAGCAACAGAGCGAACTCGAGCATTGGTCGAAGGAGTAGACTCTAATCGAGTAAGTACATTTAGATTACAATAACCATTAGTTTGAAATAAGTAGCCTTTTCTTAGTATTTTATTTTCAAGAAGCACTGTGTAATTTGTTTAAGAACGACGTTTAAAACTTTTTCTGTAGACAATAGACCATAGTCAATAATGACATTTTAATAGATCACGTACAGGTAGTGATCTTTTAGTTTTGATCTAATAAGGTTTTGATCGATGATGTACGGACGAGCTTTTACAATGTCATTCACATTCAAGCAAACACGAAAGCATTTGCTCCCTGTCACCTATCTGTAATCTTTCGATCACAATACATCTGAGAACTAATATTATGGTATTGCACAATAATGTTTGATAAAATGGTAGGAAATAAGAATTCACAAATTTTATGATCAGCTTTTCTGACAAACCTTAAATTAGTCGTTTAAAACATTAAATAAACATCATGTGATTCTATGTAATTTTATCTTTTATTTAAAGCCACATCGAATAAGTGTTCGCTCGGTGACTGCGACTCGTCGGACCTCACGAGATGCTGCTTGCACGATGGTAATCGGCAGAGATACTGGCAATATGGGCCCGACTTGCGTCAGAGCTAGTGGGGTTACCTGCTCTCAAGCTGTTATCTCCTGGTTACCAGCGAACTCTAATCATCAACACGTTGTTTGTGTTAACAACGTTGAAGTAAGACAAACTTATTTTATTTCATTTTGATACATGTCATTCCGTTACTAAATTTAAAAAAAATTGCAGGTTCGCACAGTAAAACCAGGTGTTTATCGTCACACCATAACCGGCCTCTCACCAAGTACACAATATCGGGTAACAGTAAGAGCAAAGCACTTGAGAGCAGGCCCGCCGACAGGAATACCCATAGAGGAAGCGCCTGGGGCTTATACCGATTTTCGAACTCTCCCCAAAGGTCTACCGGATCCTCCAAATGAGATCATGGTACATTATTTATGTTTTATTAAACTAGCATGACGTGAATCAGCATGCTTTTGTATGAAGTCTTTACACTTAACAATCACATCCCCCGCTCGCTGTAACGAGAAACTATATACAATTAACTTTTATGTGTCTAACGTCATATATGACGAAGTGATGTCATCTTTTGTGTGTATATAATTCAATTTCAAGAAATATTAACATCTGCTTTCCCAGTCCAATCGATAGTAACATCATGGCACACGCACTTAAGATAGCTTTTAAACGCTCACCAAGTGTGTGTTGATAATAATAATACATACCTATTTATTTTGTCACTGGAACATATGCAACCCTATTCCTTTAAAGTTCTATAATATCACAACCTCCTAGCACGCGGCACGGTCGACAATCTCGAACAAGTCGCGTCAATCGCAACCATAAATCCAGCGCCAGGACAAATTTATAATGACTCATAGTAATTCTCACCTTTATTTTAGGTTAGCCTTGCCTACCTTTGTGTTGTTGAGTATTCCCCTTGACTTGATTTTTAATGTGTACGAGACTGGGCACAGTTTGCGCAACAATAAAATCAATTGGCCTTAGTATTTTGGCTGGATTGTTGGTGGTGATTGGTGCGGTGTCGCAGGTGGAAGCGGGACCCCAGGACGGGACGCTCCTTGTGACATGGCAGCCCGTACTTCGCCCTCCGGCTTCCGGTCCTGTCACTGGGTACGCGGTATACGCCGATGGGAAGAAGGTCACCGATGTTGATTCGCCGACCGGTGATCATGCTCTCATCGACATTGGCAAACTCATTGGCCTCAATCCAAAGTGTGTCACTGTGAGTATCGTATGGAGCTTCAGTAGGCTTTTCAAGCGCTACATTTCGATATATTTGCGCTTAATAACGTGTAAAAAGATATAACGCATCGCTGTATTTGCACAAGAACTAGATTCAAGTATTTACCGTCTAAATAAGATTTGGTCTTTATTTTCATGTTACTTACAGGTGCGTACAAAATCTCGAGACAGCCAGTCCAGTGACAGTGCACCTACCCCGATACCGCCAGCTGTCCTACGTGGAGTCGTATCCAGGATGCCTCGTGGACCTGGACAGATGCTTAATCAACCTGCACCCGGATATCGAGGGCAACAGCGGCCTCAGCCTTACCAACAGCAACAGCAAGTTATAGAACACGACGAAAACCTATCAGACAAGGAAATTTTCCCAACTGGCAATCGCCACGACCAACATGCAGTTCAGGTGATCATTCGATCCTTTATCATTTTTAATCTTTTTGATATTCCTGGTTTCATATACAGTCGTTTATAGATCAAGTGTAAATCCTACATGGGTTATATGGTTTCATATACAGTCGTTTATAGATCGAGTGTAAATCCTACATGGGTTATATGGTTTCTATTTTTATTCCGATCTGAAAACGACTGTGTAAAATATAAAATTTAAAATAATTTATCATATTTCTCAGTAATTTCTTCGTCAACTATATTATATTAAATAACTTGGCCTTTTAATGCAAGTGAATTATGCTTCCATTATACTTTTTAACTATTTGTTTATGAACGTTATTTAAACCTTTAATTTTTAAATATTATGTTGTTAAATGTTGTTTTGGCACAGCACTTTGTGTATAATTAGTTTGCAAATCGGTGTCGTATATTTATGTAAACTTCATGATTTTGACGATTTTTACATGATTTAATTATTAATAAGCTTATTTTATTCATTTCTGTTCAATTTTCTATAAGTTACATCGTCTGTGAATTTTAGATATCATTTTTTATTGTGTCTTCTTTGATTCGTAAGCGATTTGTTACGTATGTGAAGGTTTAGTTCGTGAATTTTATTTTTCATTATCTACTGGCAACTTATAAAGTAATAAACACACAAAAATGTTATTAGCCACCATTGTCATTCAATAAATCGTGACGTGAAGAGTATCTCTTGGGTTTACAATAATAAGTAAAATACTATTTAAAAACAAATCGCTTGCGATACTTTAATCGGTGTTGCAAAATGCACTCTTTATACTATCCTGTTGTTCTGTCGCTGGCGTCTTTTACTGTCCAGTAGTTCTTTGCCAACCGGTACCTCACAACAATCACTCGCCATTGACTTGCTGCACTATGACTCGAGCGACTAAAATTAAATGCATACTGCTTGCGACTAGATACGTAGTCTCTAGTGCTATTGGCCGATACCTAACTAACCCACACCGTACCTTTGTATAGTAGGACAAATAAAGAGCTTGTACTTTGTGACACAGACAGAACCCTCCAAATCAAAATATAATCATTCCAATTCTTACCTTACCTCGCTCTCTCACATAACTGTTATACACCTTTCCATAGCAATCAAGTGGATTCGGCACAGGTCTACTAAAGAGTATATTCGACAAAATAACCCCTTCGGTAAGGAATTTTAACACGTTTTTTAAATTTATTTTTATTGAATAATTATTTTTGTAATTTAAATGAAAAAAAAAAACACCTTTATGTTCGTTGAATAATTGATTTTTGTTGTTTGAGTGTTTTTAGTTTCAGACATTAGTTGTTATGTTATGTACGTTATTTTAAAACTTACTAACACAGTGTGCCCGTATTCTTATTACACTTATAAAGTTTTTGTAGTTATTTAAATCAGTAATATAAAAACGATATTTAATTTTGAGTATGCTTTTCTTTAATAAATAAGTAGACCAAAATGATAAGCCTAGAGAATATTATGTAGGAGTTAGTTTATATATTTATCATATGATGAAAAGTCGAAGAGATAACGACTGCCAGCTTTTATTGTTTATTGGTGACAAACTTAGAAAAATATGAGATGGAGTAGCGCTAGATATTATAATATGTGTATTTCTTTTAACAATACATGATGTATAGAATGTTTCCAATTGGTAATAGTTTTTTCAGTGATTGAATGATGATTATTTTTGACATAGCGGTGATATGCCAGTTAACAATATTTTATTATTGATAAACCATTATATTATATCATTATTCATTCCGTACAAATTACCTACTCATTGTCAACACGTCATTATATTATCATAACATTATACATACAGGGGTACTTTCTAGGATAAAACATGAATGCATTAAGAGAAACTTATTTTCTTTCACCTTATTCTCACAGAGCAGCTTCTTTTTGCTCTTCTAAGCCTTTTCTTAAACTTCCACTGATATGCTTTTATATATAAATATATCTGATACAACACTTCTGTTATTTTAAAAGCTTTATACTATAAATGTTCACGCTTTAATCGTTAACGATGTTAAAGCCAATCACGATGGAGTACAAATTCACTTCGTTCGCTTAAAGCATTTATCTATCTAATTTCGTCACGAACCATCTCTTCGACACCAACATTTCATTATATTTGTCTAGTTAGAACGATGTTTTTGTGTTAAAATTTTGAATGACAATGTGGTACTGTCAGCAATCGGGGATACCGGCCATCGAAATCACTAAAGAGGGCGCTACGGAGCAGTTTTGCGAGGAAGAAGAGACAACGCGACGCCGCCCGCAGGTCTGGGATCTCTCGTAACTGTCATCGATGTGCTCTACATGTGCTGGCACTTTACGCTCTGTCTCTTTCAATTTATACGGAGTTTCCAAATCACGAGTCTACCACTTTTCCGTTGTTTGCGTTCTCATCTTCACTTGTCACTGTTACGTCTTCGATGTTCGATCTACACAACACCGATACACGTCCCTTACACCTGACAGGTTTTTACAATATCTTATAAAGCAATGTATTGACCGACCTTTAAGCAATTAAAATTACAAAACAGCCATTTTACAAATTATTCGCTACAGATTCATTTCATCTGAGCATGCGCAGAGCGTGTCTGTGTTTATGCATGTTGTCTTGGCTTTAATTCCTTAACTCAAAATAATCTTTCTTTACACACTCGATGTCTCTTTATTAAAAGGGTATTTGAGCTCTATTTATGTCGGAATATATATCTAAAATTAACTGAGTTTCCTTCTCGGTCTGCGTATCAAAATTTCAAGAGCCAATTTTGGAAAAATTATCGTTCCTCATTGAACAATTAATTTTGTGGTTTCAAAGCTACACGCTGCACGCTAGCTTTCTTTGTGCATGGGGATTTGAATAGAGTAACAAAGAAATGTATTAATTAAAGTTGGAGGAAAAGGTAATGTTTTTATTGCTTACCAATGCATAATGACAATGATGAAAATATAGCTAAAAGCTTGGTTAAATTGCTGTTGGCTTTGTAATAGAAAAATCTAACCTTATTAATGTGTTGGTTCGTACGGACGTCAGCAGCAACCGTCCCAACCAACCCAAGCGTCGCAGCCGGCTTCGGGACCGCAGTACCCGAGCACACAACCATACCATGGCACGCAGCAACTCCCTTATCAACCAGCCGGCCAATTCCCAAGTAACCAGTCGAATCAATACCCCGGACAATCGCAGCAGTACCAGAACCAACCCTCAAGAAATCACCACGAACGAGGCCGCCCTCCTAACCCACATCAGGTTTATATACTGATTAAATAGTGCGTGAGCAAAATTTCATTGATTTTATTTTTGTGATAAATAAAAACTTTTTTACAAACCAATTTATGAAATTGACATTTTAAAATTTGTTTTGTTTTTTTTTTATATCGTCGCATGTCATAACATTTTGTGTCGATAGGTGGGCCAGCAGGGCGGTGCTCAATATGGGCCTCGTGGTGGACCTCAGGCAGGTCCACGGGGGCCACAATCTGGCCCTCGCGCAACTGCTCAAGGTCATCCTCAATCCAAGAGGAGTCGCTACTTTGTGGCTTTATTTGATTATGATCCTGCAACCATGAGTCCGAATCCCGAGAGCTGTGATGAGGAGTTACCATTCAGTGAAGGAGATACGATTAAGGTTTGTTTCATTTATTCTTTTTTACAATTTTTATTTGCGTCCTCAATACATTTTAAATCTAAAAGTGCTATTAAAATTAAAAAAATCCTTCAATATCATATTTAACCTTATTTATAATCGTAAGCATAAACAAAATAACTATCAAACCTTTCTTATCACTTCAGTTCCTTTTTTTTCTTATCAAATGTGGTGTTTACAGGTTTGGGGCGATAAGGACGCGGATGGTTTCTACTGGGGCGAATGTCGAGGGCGTCGCGGTTATGTGCCGCACAACATGGTAGCAGAGGTGTCGGAGCAAGAGGCCACGGGGCAGGTGACAAAGCCTCGTGACCGATGGACTGACGCCTATGCCAACCAGCCCATTCGTCGCATGGTCGCTTTATATGACTACGACCCGCAGGAGCTCAGTCCAAATGTCGATGCTGATGTGAGTTGTCAAACCATCACGGTTTTATAGAAATTTATATTATATTATTAACAATAAAATTTATATTATTAATAATAAACCAAAAAAATATTTTATTTACTGAACACAAAGTCTGAGTAAAGTCAAAATTTGAGCGTTGCCACAGTCCTTCCACCGGTGGCAAGTTAACTGACCATCGGTATACTGAGTGTTTTGCAGTTTTGGAGTAGCAAGTACAGAGCTGAGTACAAAACCTATCCAACTGCAAAGAGGTGTAAGACAAGGTCATATTCCAAGCTACTGACACCCACATTAGATTTGCTGATGATATACTCATTATGGCAGAATCGTTGTAGGACCTCAGCATTATGCTCAATGACGTCAATACTGTCTCCCAACACCTATGTCGATAGTTGTTTGAAGCACGCTCAAAATTGTTATCGAGTTCGACTACCTAGGACAAATCCGACTACAATTACCGACTATAATTAGTAGGTAAGCCCAACTTCGAACGAGAGCTCTATCGACGGATCCAACTCGACTGAGAAGCGTTCGGGAGCTTACGACACATTTTCTCGTCATCCCATTTGATGGAGTGATGACCCTGATGAATGACATGATGCAGGAAGACGATGACTGCATGTGGCTCAGAACCGTGCTTATGTATAAGTATGATGATGATGAATACTATCTTATAACTTTTAAAGTCTGTTTATTTCATGTCCTTATCCATACTTGTTTTCAGGCGGAGCTTAGTTTTCAAACAGGCCAAATAATTCATGTGTACGGTGAGATGGACGATGATGGATTCTACATGGCAGAGATTGACGGAGTCCGGGGTCTAGTACCGAGTAACTTCCTCACAGAAGCAAACGATCAATATGGCCCATCCGCCAACACCAGTCAAGGTGTGCTTTTTATTTTTACGCCAAATCTTTTTTTATAAATAATAAATAACTACCTTGTAGTAAATTCTTTAAAAAAACTTGTAAAGAAGACGTACGTTCAGCAGTGTAGGTTGACTCACTACTAAATTGAGTAAGGATCTAATCAGTCATGCAGGAACTTTATTCAAGCTCAGGATCATGTTTTGTGCCAGAATAAGACCATACCTAGCAGCTCAATTGATAGGGAAATACTTAGTCGGGTCATAAGTTCTGTAAAAACCTTATTATTTATTGAATAAAACTATTATTTACGGATTTTATCGCGTTTAATTACTTTAATTTATTTTTACCATCCCGACGTTTCGGGTGCTTTACAGCACCCATGGTCACGGGGGGGGGACTGAGATGTTGGACGTCCCAATGTCATAGTTAGTCCCACTACCTTCAGTTTTTGAATATTAATCTTTGGTCCGATTTACGCAAAACGAGCTTATAGTATCATGAAGTCTTGCAGTGGTATGCTTGGGTTTGGGTTTAATTTTGTTAGTTATAGGATCCCAAGCAGCTGGCAGCACCCATCCATCTTCTCTTTTGAAATTTGGATGTTTTTTAATTTCAATAGCCTCGCGTATCATCCTTGGTAGGAATCAGTGTTCTTTTGCGAGGATTTGTGGTTTATCAAATCGAATGTAATGATAGGGACGATCTTAAACATGATCGCAGACTGCAGACTTCCCGGAGCGTCGGTGCTTCACGTCAGCTATATGTTCCTTCACGCGGGTTTTTATAGATCTTTTTGTTTGACCTATGTAAGAGAGACCACATTCACAATCTAGCTTGTACACACCTGAATCCTGTAGAGGAATATTACATTTGATCAAATGTCAGCTGCTTGAGATCCTATAATTACCAAAATTAAACACAAACCCAAGCATACCACTGCAAGACTTCATGATACTATAAGCTCGTTTTGCGTAAATCGGACCAAAAATTAATATTCAAAAACTGAAGGTAGCCGGACTAACTATGACATTGGGACGTCAAACATCTCAGTCCTCCCGTGACCATGGGTGCTGTAAAGCACCCGAAACGTCGGGATAGTAAAAATAAATTAAAGTAATTAAACGCGAAAAAATCTGTAAATAATAGTTTTATTCAATATGTAGTTTTCGCGTAAATTTAAGAAATCTTTACCTTATTATTTAAAATTTTTGAATTCTGGCTATACGAACTTCACTAATTTTAAAAATATAAAGTTTGCGCTTGCCGAAAATAAAAAATACATTAATTTTTATTCATTTTAAAATAATGTGGTCAAAGATAGAAGATAGACTAGCGGTTATCGCGTTGCACCGCTGTGCTTACGCGCCAAAAGAGATTTTCAATATTCTACAAAAATTTTAAATAACCATACGATTTGTTTATCGCACTATCAAACGATTCACTGAAGATTCAAGAATTGACTTTATCGGACATAAAGACTGGCCTAGTCAAGTCCAGATTTAAGCCCACTTAATTATAAGATATGCCAACATGTAAAGTCGTCGATTAAGGGCATATATCCAAAATAGGGGAGGGTATTTTGAATAATGTGAATAAAATGGTATTCTAAATTAAATTACCTTTCATTTCATATATAATTTTATATAATTATCAAAAAGTGGATCATTAATTTTATAAAAAGTTTTGGACAGAACTTATGACCTGACTAAGTATTTATATTAATAATGATGAAGTATAGACGCGTATACAGAGACCGTTACTCATTTTTATCTTTCAGTATCTGTAAAGGACTAATACTTGTTTCACACATTTTCCAACATTGACTTAATGCTGTGCAATACGCCCTAGTAAATAACAATTGCACAACACTACACGAAACACCACATGTATCAGTATGAAGTACAATAAAAACCCACGTATGTCCCACTGCTGAGCACACAGACCCGACACGGTACTCAAGTTTCAACTAATACCATAATACTGTTGCGCGCCTAAGTTGATGTCTGTCACCTGGCACCAACGCCATCTAGTGTCAGGGAGCAAAGCAAGGAAAGCTTTTCAGAAAATTCCATGACTGAACTTTCAACCAACAGCGCCATCTAGTATCGAATAGAAGAACTAAGCTTTCTGGAAAGCTCAACACTCGAACTTTCTGCACCTGGTCGATCGGGAGCCGGTATTTGCTGAAATATTCTGGATGTATCGGTGAAAAAGGCGTATATAAAGGCGTTAAATCCCGCCACCGGGGCAGTATTGAATTAGCGATACGAGCGAAGCTTTCGGAGTGAAATAAAGTGAACTAAAGTGTTAAGTGTGAATAATTAGTAGTGTGATTTAAGTTTTAATTGGTGTTCAGTAATTAAAGTGTCAGTTTTGGTAATTCAATCGGCAGTTTTTACTGTCACGAACCCTAAGCTCGTAACAGTACGCGGCTTCGCTTGTGTGGGCTTTAATTTAGCAACATTAATAATTAATGTTATTCCGTTCTAAATTTGGCGAAATTCGATCACTATTAGAGTCACCTCGGTGTCTGTGTATTTCTTTATGTCTGTTTGTCAAAGATTTTTTTTGAATTCTCAATGATTATTGAACATATTTGGCATAGATATAATATGTTATAGGAACACGTGAATAAATAAGTTTTTCATAATTGCATTTTGAATTTTGGAATCAATTTTTTATTTACATTTTTACATTTGGAAAAAATGCGTTATTTACATTATATACTTTACATTCTTTCATCATGACTGTCCCCCGTGACCATGGGTGCTGGAAAGCGCCCGAAACGTCGGGAATTAAAAATAAAAGTAATTAAAAGCAAAAATTAACGCGATAAAATCCGTAAAAGTAGTTTTAATCATGTGTAGTGTTCGCGTAAATATAAGAAATCATTCTTTCATCATTATAGTTAGTTTAGTTTGAACAAAACAATGATGAAAATCATTGCCGTCTATTAATTTACGATATGTTGTTTATTTGCAATATTTGATTCATATTATTGGTCCCATTTAATATTGATTGAGACCGCTAATAAATGTTGATATTATTTCGTTACGTTATGTTGATACGTTTCGTACATTCGAGTAGACTGTAAAATTTCATAAATGAAGTTCTATAACGATTTCTTATATCTACGCGAATACTGTACATGGAATAAAATTAAATTTGCAAATTTTAACACATTTAATTTAAACTTTTTTAACGTAGGTTTTTAAACGTATCCGCGAAAAATCCATAAAAATCCGCGTAAAAGAACATATCGAACAATCGACAAAAATTCGGTCAAGTGTTTCAGTAGTTACTTGAGTAATCGGTACCAATAAGTAAAATTGGTAAAAAGTGATGGGTCTAAAGTACGTTTTCACCCAAGGCTTATTAAACGTAGTGATCCTCAGGATTCAATACTTGGTCCACTTCTTTTTATAATTTATTGTGTCAATCTTGTCAAAGTTATAAACTATTGTATGTACCACTGCTACGCTGATGATGTGCAAATATACGCGTCAGACTCACTAGATAAGTTATCACAAACTGTCACACGGCTTAATGAGGACTTGGACAGAATTGCTGACTGACTATTCTTGTTTTAAACTCTTCAAAGTCAAAATATATGGTCATGGGCACAAAGACGCAAATAAATAGAATTTGTGGTGACCTTAGACGTTAAGATTCATGGTAAACATATAATGCGCGTGGTTGAAGCTAAAAACCTTGGCATAACCTTCGACGGTAATCTCAGATTTGAAAATCATGTCCTTGATATGGTAAAAAACTGTTTTTATCGCCTATCTGTACCATCACGCATTACACTTTGCGAGTTATTAGTTTAGACAAACGTTGAAATTTTTATTATAATTATCGAATTTTTGGGTTAGGAGAGAGCGAAGTGTTGGTAATTCTAATTCAGTCACAAAATGAATAAAACGAATCAGAATTAGCAGAGGTTAATGAATCGTTATCCGAAACTGCCAAGGCGCTAAAAATCAGTATATAATATTATATGGAAATAAATTAACATATAAATAACTTATATAAATAAATATATAACGTATTCCACTATAAATAAATATATAACTTCTTTAAGTTAATAAAAATAATTATCTTTAATATATTTTGTTTAATGCTATATTGTAATTTGGATATTAATTTATACTGCTACCACACCTGCTGGTAGACTATTAACAAAACGAGATTAATAATAAAAAAGAAAAGAAATAAAAAAATTAAATAGGTACTAAACCACTTTGGTTATGACCAAAGTGATTTAATACTTTATTTACTTAACTATCAGAAAAAATTAAACATAAAATGCATCAAAAGTTGGTCTTATGTAGGTACCTACGTTATTAAACAAAAATATAAAATAATGAATCCAAAAAAATCCAAAGTCGATGTACATTTTCGAAAAATAATTATTTTAACTTTTTATAAAGGCCGTAAGACAAATGATCAAATGGGGCATTAAGTGTGCACGTTTCGATTTTCCAAATATTTTATAATGTCCGTGAGATCGAATTTCGGTCAGGGTGACCCGTTTCAACTAGCCGTCTACGCAGTACAGGACATCAGCGAAATCGTTTGCCAAAGGTGTTTTCAACAATCGAGAACGAAAGTTAAAAGGTTCGAAGGCAATTAGACACTAACCAACAATAAAAATGTCATCTAGCGATTCGCTGACCATATTACGATGGTTCGGCCGGCAGTTTCCGGTGAATTAAAGGTTTTGGACTCTGAAGTTTTGGTTTCAAAGTTGACACTTTAAGGAATTGATTGAAGGGCACTATTATGAGCCCGGGCATTGGAACGATTGACAGATTAACAGCACTTTTTTGATTAGATAGGTGGTGGTGTATGACTTAATACATAAGCTGTACATACCGCCCGACGCTTCTACCGACAGAATAACTCAGTGAGTGCGGACCGACACGCGTTGGCTTAACAACCGTGAGCATTGCTGGAAAGTTGACCAAACTTATCATTCTACTGAGTATATACAGGGTTATTTTGCAATATTTGCCCAAACTTGCAGAGGAGGTTCAGAATAACTAATATGCTACGTAATGGTGTATGTGGTAGAGCCGTGCTATAGCTATAGTATAAGTGTAGCACGAATGGGTCGGCTTGACCAGGGCAGGACCACGCTCTCACAGAATACTAGCGTATAATAGTAGCTCAACGCTGCTGTGTTTCGTATGGTGTGTGTAGAGAACCGGAGACACCCTTTTTACTGGAAACTTTATTATTCCATATTAGTTCTGACAGGTGACAATGCATCTGAATTTTCATTTGTAATCGAGGATATGTAGATATGTAGATGTCTATGGGCCACAGCAACCACTTACGATCAGGTAGATTGTGTGCTCGTTTGTCACCCCTTATACTATAAAAATGTTAATTAAAAAATCTCAAACATTCTATAATTTATAGAATATTAGATAATCTACTACTTTACTAAGTACGCACACGTTCATAAGGGTCGCTCGGTTGGCAAAATGTTGTGAATTGAATCGCACACAGAGGAGAGAACTTACACATAGTTGTTGCCCATAAATCACATTCAATTTGGGATAATTTCAAGTTAAAGTAGAAGCCTTATTTACCATCATTTTCAAAACCTGCAATAACGGTATATCATCATTCATATATTTGAATTAAATACGTATAAAATTTGGATAGTATTTGAACAAGTGGTAAAATTAAAAAATTTATACAACTGACTACAATACCACCAAATTAATGTAATCGAAGTCAATAAATACGCATTATTAAAGATAACTCAAAACTCCTTGTCAGATCTTGATTAACTTAATTAAAAAAACATACAGTAAAATTGAATACCTCCTCTTTTTTGAAGTCGGTAAAAATAACCCTGTACTCTCCTATACTCGTGTTAGAAGCATTTGAATAAACACGAAAGTTCTTAATTGTAGATTTTTTTTGTTAATCTAGGTGGTGGTCCAGGAGTAGCTGGTATGGCGAGTGGACGGGGAGGTGCGCCGGGATCTACGCCTTCGGTGCCCGGCGCCGGGCGGGGCAGGGGTGCTCCCCCAGGGCCTGGGGCTCGCGGGCCTCCGCCGCCCCCGCGAGACAACGTGGTCCCCGCACCTCGCAACCAACACCGCAAGACAGGTTCGCCTCTTTCTCCTCGATGTAATGTGTCTAATTCGTACTGTGTAGCGCCGATGCCACTGACAGGGATGTTCGATGAGTTATATATCGGCAATAAATTGAATGTTCACGGAGTGACCGATGTGTGTCAAATAAGATAATACGTATATGCTCGAAATACACAAAACACTTCTAAAATAAAGTTCCAAATTCAAAATAAGGTGTCAGAATTTATCGCCAACGCATTATTCAATATTTAAGTCAATTATAAGGATTTTTTTATATTTTGTTTCTAATGTTTTATTACACCCCTTTTTTACTAGAAACTAAGCATTCCATCTTATTCCACAGGGGTGACAACGCATCTGCGTTTTGATTCTTACTCGAGGATAAATGTTGATGTAGGTATATGGGCCACAGCATCCACTTACCATCAGGTGGACTGTGTGCTCGTTTGTCAGCCTTATTATATATTAAAAAAAAACTATTAAAGAACACTGGTACAAAAAACAGATATATGATCTGTGTCTGTATCGTGCAATACTCCTGAAAAAAAATTCTTGATTATAACCAGAACTTTCTTTAGTAGAACCTTTATATTTATTCATTAATTATTTAAGTAACATTATTATCTCATTGAAAAATTGAGCGCGTGTAACGTTTTCGCGTGATTAAATTAAAACATTTTAATATTAACGCTGCGTATAATAATAAAAAATATATGAATAATATTATTACCGTTATAATTTTATTTAATAACGAAATATTTATCAATAAAAATATTATTATCAGCATAGGACTATATGAATATACGATAAATGCATAATATCCGAAAATTTTATGAAATATTTATTATGTTTATATAAAACAACTACTCGCATATTATTATAGTCGGTCGCTGCCTTTATAAATGTAGAAAATACATTAAATGGACATAACATTAAATGTCAACATTAAAAAAGCTCCCAATAAGTTTGTTTGTTTGATAAATATCAAGTCCGTAAGCATGTGAAAAAATCGTTGCAAGTTTGAATTAACACAGCTCTTATTTTCATATATAGTTCATATTTCTTCTGACATAGATACATATATAATAAATATTTCGAAAGTTGTTATAACCAATAATGTAATACGTATAAGAAAATGCCTTAATAATATATGGACATATGCAAGACGATCTAACATCTCTGTAGAGGCTTTTCGATATTCGCTGTTAGTTAATATTATTGTTAGTTGTTAAATTTATGATAAGTAAAGAATGCAATTTTCATAAATCCGATCGAAAGTCAGATTCGGTTCGGATCACTAAGAGCTTTCAGTGTTTCATGTTTGCACCTTGGACTTGCTATGTGACAACTCAGAGACGCTAGCCTTTTCGCTCTGGTATCCTCTATCATCTTTCTTGTACTCGTACACGGTGTTGCGATTGCGACGGGACTCGATCAACGAGTTTCAGTTTTCAAAGGCAACAAGGTTATTTTTCAAAGGGTAGCCAAATTTAACTTAAACTTAAATTCAACTTAGGTCAACCAAAAACTTAACAAATATACAACATGTAACATAATTAACGCACTTTGAGAAAGTAGTTTGTTCAGAATCGTTTACTGAATCAATTCCTATCATTTTTAATATAGGTAATTTTTTATCCCAAAAATAATTAAAACTATCTAAATTACAGTCACACTAAATCTGTACAGTCAAAACACACTGAAATGGACCGTAACTTAAGGCAATAAGACTTTTAAGAGTGCAGTTTTATTTGTATTATTACTAATTCCGTCATTCAATAAAAATAAAGAAAAATGAATTTTATTTCCAGCACGTTAAAGTCTTTGCGTTCGCGGATTTGTACTGTGACCACAACATTCTTCCGGAATTAGTATAACTAATTTGATAAATAATCAGTGTATAAAATGTTTAACTAAAAATTCAGTGTATGTATTATGATTATAACATAATATACTAATTGGGGTGTCTGATGGTGTGCGTTAATTACGTTATATATTGTATAAGTATAAATAATGATATACCGTTATTAAAGTTTTTAAAAATACGATTAAATAATGTTTCCACTTTTATTTGAAATTATCCCAAATTGTATGTGATTTATGGGCAACAAAGTTTTTGCCTACCGATCGACCCTTACGAATTTGTGCTTGCGCAGTAAAATCAGTAAAAATAATGCATTAGACGCATTTTTCATTTTAAAGATAAAAAGGACAGAATTTTTGAGATTTTTTTATTTAATTCTTCTTGACCGTTTGCTTATATTACTTATTCTGAACTTTTTTTGCAAATTTGGCCGGTCATTGCAAAATAACCCTATATTTTGTTAAGGAGCAACCGTTCACCCTTATAACTAACATTGTACAAACAAACACATAATTACTTTATCTTTACAGTGTTAGATTTTTGACGATTAATATATTTTTATGTTGAAAACAGTTTAATTAAAAGCGAGTCCGGTTGCAATCTACGGAGCACAAAGACTCTTGGTGTACACAATGCTGAAAAACACTATCTTGGATTACACAGTCACTAACATCGCCCCAACCTTATAAAAAATATAATTTAATGACATACGATAAAGGATACTGTTAAATCACGCTCAAAAAACACATAAAGCTTTATTAAGGGTAAATAAAACATTAAATTGCTACAAAATGAAATATTTGGGCTAATTATATTTATTTTACTGCGTTTTGTATTTAACTATCTTTCCTATTCTTCTTTTGTTTTGTCAGTTATATTCCTTCCTTACTTCCAAAATGGTATTATTGTTCACCACCGTCTACACAGGGTAGGCTGATCTGAAGAAATACACGCAACATAGCTAGCTATGCACAGAGCGCACGATGCTCGTGACGTGTGATCCAAGATTCAATTTGCTGTCTGTGGTCACTATATATGTTGTGTGTATTGTCTGTTTGCTAGATGCCTGCCCTCTTCCCCCTTCTCAGTTAGACCACAACACATGCGCCAGTAATCCAGAACAGGCGAATTCTCAGGTAAAATATTACCGTATATAATTGACCCACAATACCTACTATTTCAAATATACTATGCAATGATACTAGTTCGATTTTCGTTCGATTATTATCATTCACTTCATATACATTTATTTTATTCTCTTTCACTTTTTACTCCTCCATATTTGTTTTTTTTTCTTTATTTGACTATGCTCGGTGTCAAAGCCATTGCGGTGTCAGGTACTGTGAGCACCGCACTGGATATTAATAATGTAATGAACGATTTATTTGAATCACATTTAATCTACACGTCATTAGCTGTTATGTCATTTAGATGACCAATTCATACATACTACTGGTACAGAACAACACTGGCGTATGCTTCACTAACATTAAATACCATTACTCATTCACCGTAAGACAAAACCTTTGAGACTTTAAAAATTGATCCGTTATAGCCGGATACTGAAAATTTAATCAGGTCTTGCCTAACTTATTTATTTTAACTTCATCGTATTACAAACTAACTATTTCTCTTCGTATTTTTTTTAAATTAAAGGAATGTAAATGTGAACTGGTCTTAAATTTCTAGGGACACACCGTCCTTAACGTCCTAATCTATTACACTTTCAATAATATATTTCATGAACTACTTACCTTGTCTATCTTGCTTTGTTTTGCAATGCATGTGAACGCACGAGTTTTGTACGCAAGCATGAAATTGTTTCCAAATGCTATGCACAAATTGCAGTGTGTGCACACATATTTGCACATTTTTTATTAAAACATACTTGTATCAGTAGGGTACTTTTAAACTTGTTATATAAGATAAAAATTAAAATTCAGCAGATTTGTCTCTGACACTAAGTTGTCGAAAAATTACCAATTAATGGATTGACCACGCATATAGTGATTCTGGAGAGTAGTTAATCATGTAATAAAAATCTTCCCTTTGCTAATGCGTAGTGACAAAACATAGAGTTCTATACATTTCTCAAAATTATTTACGAAATAAGTAAAACCTTTCGATTTCTATACGTTGAAATAAACGTTGTTTTAAGAATCAATGATGTGTGAGTGAGTATTTTTGTGTAGACATGATAAGCAAATAAAACACAATGAAACGCACCTAAATGTTGTCTGTTGGAGATTACCTACTTAAATCGTTTTTTCGTTGAGGGACTAATAATAGAAGATATTTTAATACATTGTAATGTATCTACAAATGAATGTCTAATTTCGTTACTTGAACTTCAGAACTTATTTGAATATCGGATAAAAAAAAATATCTTATTTACGAATTTCCAGTCGTGGCAAAAACGTGCATGGAAGCATTTAGTTCATGGAAGCATTCAGTATCATTTGTTTTTATTATTATATATTAATCAATAAGTTCTTATCCCAAAAGTACTTACCTGATGTTTGGATATTTTCGAATTAACGTATAGAAATCGTGAGCGTTAATTTTCCGTGAGCTAGAAATTCATAAGGAATGGACTGTAGGAAGGTTTGCAACAGCAGGCGAGGGGGGAGAGGCGCGGCGAACGCGCAGGCGGCGAGCACGATCGCGCGCACGAGCGCTGGTAACACGGGCAGCCCCACGGTGCAGTCCCCGGGCACCCCAGCCGCCGCGCAACCGGCCTCCGCACCACAGCCCTCTCCTGCACGCCGCCCCGGCCCCGCCGTCGTACCAGCTCCACAACCCCCCACCACACAACCCCCTACCTCGCAACCAAACCTCATGCAGAAATTCTCGGAAATGACCGCGCCAGGGGGTGACATCCTCAGCAAAGGCAAAGAGCTAATCTTCATGAAGTTCGGTCTTGGAGGTAAATAATGACGGTGCCGTGGCCTATGTGGCCTCGACACCCGACCCCTCGTCGCGGTCGTCGGATCGTAAATTCCTTTACGCCGACATTAAGTAAGTGCGACTCCTCGACCTCATATCTTTTAGTTTTTTTATGGTTCTGCTGCGTTTTCCGAAGAGTGGCTTGGATTGAGTTTTCTACATTTTAATCGTTACAAGATTATGTATAAGAGATGTAAATAAAAAAAATCAATAAACGCACAGTTTAGTGAATATACAAATGTTAGTGCAGTCTCAATAGAGCGCACGTTGCAATTGTTAACATCTAATTTTAGCTTCACGTATTAAGTACATTTTCTTTCTTGAACATGATGTGGTTTGTCTTTTAGATTAGATATATGAGAAATGTTTGCATAATCTTTTACTGATTTTAATTTATATTATGATGTGTAATTTCTGCTAAGATCACCCTGTTATTAATATGAGATGATAGTTTATATTGTGTTGATGATTGCTAGATATTCCTTGATTTAAGGCCGAAATAAATGTTGAAAAATAGTTTACAGAGGTTTATAATATGAAATATAAATATTATATTCTGTAACATTTCTTCTGCAAACGACCCTGCAGAAGTTTTTCTACTAGTAATCGCTACTGACTTGGTGAAAATCTATAAATTAAGAGGTGAAAAGAAATTGTTGAATTGAAATGATATTTTGGTCACATTGTCACGAAACAATATATTCAATAATTTCAAACATCTATTACACTTCTTAAATAAGTTCTGTTACAGAACTGAAACGTATATTTAATTGTAAATTATTCAATGAAAATAGTTTGCAAATCAGTATTATTTAACTGCAAATTTCAAACAATGGCTCAGTTTTAAATTTGTTGTTTAATAATTCTGATAATAAGAAATCTGGAACATTTATCTATTCATTTCAATAAATGTTGAGTAAGCATTTTAAATTTATATGCTGATTCTTAAAATAACTCGAAATAATAATATTCTGTGATAGTAGACGTGATAACATCTTTGTCATTCTTATAAATATAGCAAGATCATCGCATCAGTTAGACTTTCGAGTTCAGAAATACATATTAAATTTTGTTTCATAGAAATACTTTGCATACGGATCGACTACAATGCAACCAATTGTTTTACTATTGAAATATGTTTAGGAAAACCTTTACTTGCATTTACGATAAATATATTACGGGATTTTTTGCTAATTAAACGTTGATAAAAAAATGTTAAGCCGAGACAAATAAAAAGTATAAACTGCATTAAAACACCTGAAACCGGCAAGTTAATATTATAGTCAGATATATTACATCTTAGTTTAATTTTAAAAATTAAACTGAGACACTGCAAACTCGCATTTTAGCTCTTAAATTGGACTTATTTAGTACAAACAATGGTCCTAATATATTACCAATACTTAGGAATTTTTAAGGTTTATGATGCAAAAGATACAGAAAACAGCATAATATAACGGCAGTGTTTTTAATGCATTGGTATAATAATTAAAGCTATATTTCACTATAGCGGATGTGATGCTCGTAAGCAATTTTTTGTATACTGAAAACTAAAAATAAATTTAACTTTAATACATAGACTATTATGTACTCGACATTAATGGTATTGTTGTTATTTTGCTACGGATGAATATTTCAAAGCGTGAATTTTCCGGGTGAGAATCTCACGACCTCAATAGTGTACAATTGTACTAGGTTATGTCGAAAAAAATGCACTATAGCGGGAAGGCAGGCAACGCGACGCTCGACCGGGAAATGCGTACTTGTGAATTTTCCGCTCGGAATAAAGCAAAAAATATTCTTACCATTACACCATTATTCATTGAAGTCTGTTTAAATTTACTTTTGGTTTAGTAAGCAATTATGTACTGTATATACTTATCGTATTAGTAACTTTGTATTTATTCCATATTATATTTTGAAGAGCTAATAAAATATAACTAATTAACATGTAATGCTATAATGGCAAATTGGCATATAAGGCCATAATAAGACTGCTTGCAGGATAATTACTTGTTGCTATAAATTTATAAAATAAAAAAACGCATTTAAGAAGAGAAAATCAAAGGGGGACTTTAGTCACATTACAGAAGTATTCTTTAGAACTCGTTTTAATTTTTTGGATTTGATAGTTGGTGAGCATATATATTAATTTAAATATTTCTACAACTATTCGTTTAATTTTTAAACATTTATTTAAGTTTTATTTATTTCAAAAAGGGATTAAAATTTTAATCAATGCATTTACGGAATAATTAAGTAATGTCCCTCTGAGTAAAACTTCCTAAAGACTATTCTTACAATTCTGCTAGCTGTTTTGCGAATTATTTATAGAATATTAAACTGTATCGTACATCTCGTTACGTGATACGATTATATTGATATCTACAGATTTTTTTGTTGTCTATCGAACACTTGACATTGTTAAAATATAGTCTGTTACCTAGGTATAACCTATAGATACGTTTTTAATCCATTAATTTAATTAAAAAATAATTAAAAACTTTTAAAACTCTCTACAATATACATTCATTATAGTAAAGGCAATTCTATGGCATTTATTTTTAAATTCGATATTTATTTATTTCCTTGTGTTTAAATTTAGAATAAAGGCCGAAAAACATATTTTTTTTAATTTTCACCTATAATAATTCCAAAAAAATCATTGTAATTAGTATCACTTAGCGAGTGGCTATTTATAAGCATCTGGTGTCGTGAAGTGTGGATTTGGAAGTGAAAATTTAATACCAGCGTCTTACTAAATTATTTTATACGATTAATATACGTGCACAAATTTACGAATTGCATACCATGCGATCGAGCACCGCTCTAGTCGAGTCAAAGTAGCGTTACTTTTATATTAAATCAAAAACTGGAAGAATGTTAAAGTCGTTTTCGAGGAATTAATATTAGAATTTGTAACAGAAACAAAAATTCAACGTCTTTAAAAACCGAAATTAATTAGTTTTTTTCTGCTTAAACACTTCTCGACAGCAAATGATATTTTTATAAACCTATTTATCATAATAAGATAAAAATTATAGAAGAAAATTAAAATCATATATCTGTTAATGAGTAAAAAATCTTACGTTTGATTCTAAATAGAGACCAATATTACCTGTATTACCTCTTCCGACTATAGCTTTTGAGTTCACTCTTCTTCTCTTGCAAACAACTTAAAGTATACGTTGTTAAATTTTGTATCACCATTTTCATTCCCAACAATTTTCTAATTCTAATGTTGTTGTTGTAAATATTGATCAATAAGGGCTTGGACTGTAGACTATATCGAAATGATCACTTCTTACAAGAGATACTCTATTAAGTCCTCTTTATCGCTTCATATCCAAGGGGCAGCCTCGCCGTCGTATTTTAAATCTTTTCGGATATAAAATCCTGCATTAGCTTGAAGTTACTAGTTGCGAAAATTCATAAACAATAACATAAAGTCCTTAGCTCGCTGTTTAGTCGATTATTTAAGGATGTGTATTGGGAATTGGTTTGTAAATATTGTGAATGCGACTGGGGTCGCTTCATCCATTTCGCGCTCTGCTACATATCTAAATATTATATTATAACCCACATCGATTAATGTCTTTTCTAACATTAATAAAAGAAATACTTGTTCTAGTGTTATCTTAAACACCATTCAAAGTTGTTCACTTGTTTATACATTGTTATGAAACTGTATCCATATCTTTTATCACATGTAATTACGTGTATGGTTATTTATACGGAGTAATATTAACAATAATAATGTATATTTATCCCGCATTCATGTGTGCATAATATGAAAGTTGTATATTACTTATACCTAACGAATACAAACACTATCTTTAATGAACGAAATCTTTAACAATGTACCAATGAAGTATGTTAAGAAAAATAAATGATACAAATACCGCTTCTTTATTTTTTGCTTGTTTGTTGTTTGTTTCCTTATTTTAATCATAATTTAAACTTACGCTATTTAATTAAGTTTATTATTAATTAATTAATTACTAATAAGTGTGTGTATTTCAAGTGATTAAAAGACAAGTGACAGTAGCCGGTAGTACAACTTGTAGATTAAGGAGGCGTTGGGAACCGCCATTCGAATACTACCATATATTACCTCTTCTAAAGACCGATTTACACTTCGACAAGTAAAGTAGCGAGTTTAGTTACAGGGCAGTTGGTAGTAAACGGTTAAGTGGGCAGTAGCGTTCAAATAATGTCTTCGTGGCGAGTTTAGTTAAGGACATTAGTTCATAGACTTCGTTGGAGTATGACGTTTCAAGACTACAGAATTTTTCCAGTTTTCGTTTAAGATGGTCCTAGGATTACGTCAAGAATTAAATGATCTAGTCAGAAAAGTATTAATGGTTGTTGTTAAAGAAGGTTTTAAGAATTTTTATGAGTGCAGCATCTCGAGTTAATTTTACAATTTGAACTTCTACTATTATATAAACATTGGTGTTCTAAATAATACGTGAAATCTTCCGTCTTAACTTTGTTGCGAGTTTAATTATAAAAGTACAATTGTACGTTTTGGCGCACAAACGTTGCGTCCTGTCAACTTATGCACTGAACTAAACTCGCTTGTTTAGTTTAGTTGCGCGTGACGGGAGACGAGCGGGAGGGCAGCACTTCGCACTTAACTCGCCGAAAAATAGCTCGGCCGGCTATCCCGTTCAACTTAATCGTTAACTTACTACTTAACTCGCTTATTGCTGTTCAAACGAGGTTCAAACTTAACTCGCCAGGTTCGCAAGTTAACTCGCTACTGTACTTATCGAAGTGTAAATCGGTCTTAATTCTAAAGCAATTTATGCTTACTTGGGAGAATTTAACCGTTGGTATTAGTAGTTTTAACAGCTTTACTATATATACTGTTGAAAATAAAGGGTCAACCTCAAGGAAATGTTTTAAGAATCATTTAAAGGGATAAAATCATAGAGAAGAAGAGTCCTACCACCTAATATAATCAGATGCATCTCATACTAGGTACGTCTATATTTCTGCATAGGAGTCCACCTGGGTAGGATCCATTCATTTATTCACTTCTGCCACCAGCGCAACTATGCTTGAACTGTCGTGTTCCGGTCTCCAGGGTTAGTATAATAACAGCTTGTAAGGCATTCCCTGTCAGCCGTTGCAGCAGTTCAGCCGTTCTACTCGTGGTGTCAAGTGTGGACGCACGACGAGCCTGCAACATGCAAATCGATGCATGCGATGCAAAAAACCAACAATAGGCAGAGCACAGTCGAGCGCGAACCAAACCCTAGAAGACCAATCGTTCGAAGCCTGTAAATCGGTCTACTAATGAGCCAAGCACAAAACTGTACAGTCACGAATTTGTGCTTGGCTCATGCTTCGCTCGTGCTCGGCTCGCCTAGTGTAGACCCACCTTTAGACATTACAATGCATTTAAAGCATTCTTTGTTTAAAGTGTTCATAGGCTGCGTTGGCTATTTCACACCGGAAACTGCAATTTCGTATCATTTCAGTTTCATAAAAAATATGTGATGAATGTCATGAAATTATAATTGCACAGATGTAACCATCTCAGAACGTCAAAGAATAGTTATCAGTAAGAGGAGCTTTTAATTAGCTTCTCAAGCGTGTTCACTCTGGTAGACCATAGTAGCTTATACGTCGGTCGACTCGACCGTGGTAGGACCACGCTCTCACAGAATACCATAGAAAAATAGCAACTTAATGACGCTGTGTTTCGTGTGGTGAGTGTAGAGAACTGGAGACCCATTTTCCTGGAAACGAGGCATTCCATCTCAGTCCTCAGGGGTGACAACGCATCTGCATGTTGATTCTTAATCAAGGATAAAAGTCTGGGCCGCAGTATCCACTTGTCATCTAGTCGATTGTGTGCTCTTGTTTTTTGTCACCCTTAGGCGTTGTCCTAATTGGCTATCGATCGTACGATTAAACGATTCGATTTCATTGTATGATTAAAAAGATCGTGCAATGGTCCAACAGGTTTCCTAATAACTCGTGCGATGCTCATCGCGCGACCGTGCGATGCCGCCGCGTCATCAACACAAGGACGCCATTTCAATAATAGCAATTTACTAAGATGCACAGTTTTTTTACTCTCTTAGGTCTTAAGCATTTGTTATGCTCGCACGATCATTTGCAAGCTTCAATTAGGGCAATCTAAAGAAATGTTTGTGTTTAATTTCGTCGTGCGACGAAATCGCATCGTTTGCTCGTACGATCGTTGCTAATTAGGACAACAGCTTATTCTATAAAAAAGACCGATTAACTTTTTCATACAACTAGAGCGACAAAAGGCCGTCTCCGATTAAGAATTAAAATACTAATGCAATGTCAAGGACCTGTCTTGAAAACTAACATCTACTTAAAATTAAAGACAAAATGTTTTATTCAAAATTGGTTTTTACAGAGCCGTGGACAACCTCGTTGGTCTAGTGGTTGTAGTGCGACTGCTGATCATGAGGTCTAGGGTTCGAATCCGGGTCGGGCCAAAAAATTAATTATAGAGTTTTTCCGTCAAGAAATTCTCAGTAGTTGCCCGGAGTCAGGAAGTTGGCGGTGCGCACCCCGTGCCTCGGAAAGCACGTAAAGCCGTTGATCCTGCGCCTGATCTCATCGTGTCGGTTTACCGTCCAATCGGGTTATGAGAGTGAGGGAATAGAGAGTGCACATGTGCTTGTGCATTCACTTGGGCACTATAATACTGTCCTGCGCCGATGGCTAGCCTCCGTTGAGGCAGGCCGCCGTGGCCAAAATTCGGTCTGGAGGACATAATTTACAGCGCTGTTTTGATAGTCAAATTCCATCGCTTCAATTTAAAAATAACTTTTCCGCAAGAAATAAGTATTTAACTTATAAAATATATATAGAAAGTCTTTACCTATAAAATTGCCATTTTTTATGAAGTAATTTACGTTATTTGTTTTCAGTATTCTTTATTCCTATTTAATCAAAGTAATCACCCATGTCGATCGCAATCGATGCATCTTTGCCAACTTAGTGGCAGTTTATTGATGATGATTGCTTCTTGAAGAAATAAGTTGGACAGGAGGCAACAAATTATTCAAAGGCATTTTGTACGGTCTATCTGGTATTAAGAGTTAACCAAATTCTGGAAAAAGTAGAAGTGTGTAGGCGCAAGGTATGGTGAGTACGGTGGATGACGAAGAGCTTCCAAGCTCTTATAACGTGGAGACCGTCTGTTGTGCAGTATGAGGTTGCGCGTTGTCCTGCAGGCGTAGCGGAGACGAGCAATTGACCAAAGCTGGTTGCAGACGTGCGAGCTTCTCCACCGTTGTGTTCAGTTCTTCATAGTACACATCTGCAGTAATGCTCATCTCGTTTGGTAAGAAGTCATTATGAATCACACCGGCACTAGACCACAAAATAGTGACCATCAATTTTCTAGGGGTAAGTTCTCGTTTAGAGCATTGTTTAGGTGCTGAATCAGGATCCTACCAACTTTCTGAGCGCTTGGGATTGTTAAACAGAATCCATTGTTCAGCGCAGGTAACAATGCGGTTCAAAATTCCTTCGTTTGTATGCCTGTTGAGCAGTGCAAGGCACGTCTCGACACGTACTTCGCGCTGGCGATCATTGAGTTTATGAGGCTCCCATTTGTCAATCATTTTTACCTTGCCAATTTGATCCAAATAGACTAGCATTGTTTTGATACTAACGTCGAAAGCTGCTGCTAATTCAGCCGTAGATTGAGTATCATCAGCTTCCACAATCGCAATTTTTGAGGTTGAAATTTCTAGAACGGAAGCAGGCAAATCAATAACAGTTGAGCGTCGTTGATGTTGGGTACCGCTTGTACTGCGTTGTTGCTACGACGGCACTCATATTTCATAATTACTCGAATTTTTAACGTATTCATGATGACGAAAACGATTCAAATGCGATGGAAATATAACGCTTATCAATAAACAAATAACTAATTTTGGAAAAAGGAATTCCATGTTTTTTAAAATTAAATTAATTTGAAATTTGAATTCTTAGCCAAACAAAAATTACTTGGATTTGAAATGGCCAATACCGTAAAATGGCAATTTTATAGGTAAAGAACTTTTTTACTTTAGATAAGTAAAAAACGTTTAAAAGGCTCACCTAACAAATAATACATTAATATTTTTTATGGAGAGTCCTTTCTTAAGAAGAATGCTCTTTATATGCGCCTTGAATTTGTGCCAGGGGAAAGCAATAACGTTGCAGTGAATCTTGTTATAAATTTATACATGTACCCAAAAATGTGCTGCTTGTTTTACGATCCTGTACATCGGTACAACAAGTTGATACAGTTAATTTACTAAGCGTGTTAAAATTATGGTCGTCACTAATTTTATCAAAGGTATTATATGTTATATAATATTCAGAATAGCAGTACTGCTTCGTTGTCAGTACAAAGGATTTCTGGTTTTTGTTAATAGCCATTCAAATCTCGGCAGAATCAAGCTTCTATTGTGCTCATATTCTGCCAGAGTGTATTCCTTCCTTCACCGGGCCGATCTAATTGTGCTACGTAGAGCTACAGCCCCTGCTCCCTGGTGTAGCTCTACCCCGTAAAAGATATAACTAATTAAAGTTAGTTACGAACTTCTCATACGTTGATGATGACAATGGTTTTTATTATTATTATAATGGATTTATAAAAAGAATTACTGATATTGGTCATACAAACGACTTAAGCAAAAATTGATACGCAGCTGGAATGTTTTAACTGTGCAAGAAACACAAGGTCAGCAAACATAAACATATTACGTAATTATATAACATAGTGCTAACACAGTCTAAGAACATAGTGCCGTGTAGTGGCGATGTAAGAGTTTCCACTATAACATAGTCTCCATTATAACATATTGTCCCGTGGGAGTCGTAAGAGGTGACAGAACATAGTGTCGTGTAGTGGTGATGTAAAAGTATCCACTATGACATAGTTTCCACTATAACATAGTCTCCATTATAACATATTGTCCCGTGGGAGTCGTAAGAGGTGACAGAACATAGTGACGTGTAGTGGCGATGTAAGAGTATCCACTATGACATAGTTTCCACTATAACATAGTCTCCATTATAACATATTGTCCCGTGGGAGTCGTAAGAGGTGACAGAACATAGTGTCGTGTAGTGGCGATGTAAGAGTATCCACTATGACATAGTTTCCACTATAACATAGTCTCCATTATATGTTGTCCCGTGGGAGTCGTAAGAGGTGACAGAACATAGTGACGTGTAGTGGCGCTGTAAGAGTATCCACTATGACATAGTTTCCACTATAACATAGTCTCTATTATAACATATTGTCCCGTGGGAGTCGTAAGAGGTGACAGAACATAGTGACGTATAGTGGCGATGTAGAGTATCCACTATGACATAGTTTCCACTATAACATAGTCTCTATTATAACATATTGTCCCGTGGGAGTCGTAAGAGGTGACAGAACATAGTGACGTGTAGTGGCGATGTAAGAGTATCCACTATGACATAGTTTCCACTATAACATAGTCTCCATTATAACATGTTGTCCCGTGGGAGTCGTAAGAGGTGACAGAACATAGTGTCGTGTAGTGGCGATGTAAGAATATCCACTATGACATAGTTTCCACTATAACATAGTCTCCATTACATGTTGTCCCGTGGGAGTCGTAAGAGGTGACAGAACATAGTGTCGTGTAGTGGCGATGTAAGAATATCCACTATGACATAGTTTCCACTATAACATAGTCTCCATTACATGTTGTCCCGTGGGAGTCGTAAGAGTTGACAGAACATTTCTGAGTGGCGATGTAAGAGTATCCACTATGACATAGTTTCCACTATAACATAGTCTCCATTACATGTTGTCCCGTGGGAGTCGTAGGAGGTGACAGAACATATTGTCGTGTAGTGGCGATGTAAGAGTATCCACTATGACATAGTTTCCACTATAACATAGTCTCCATTACATGTTGTCCCGTGGGAGTCGTAGGAGGTGACAGAACATAGTGTCGTGTAGTGGCGGTGTAAGAGTATCCACTATGACATATTTTCCACTATAACATAGTCTCCATTACATGTTGTCCCGTGGGAGTCGTAAGAGGTGACAGAACATAGTGATGTGTAGTGGCGATGTAAGAGTATCCACTATGACATATTTTCCACTATAACATAGTCTCCATTGCATGTTGTCCCGTGGAAGTCGTAAGAGGTGACAGAACATAGTGACGTGTAGTGGCGATGTAAGAGTATCCACTATGACATAGTTTCCACTATAACATAGTCTCCATTACATGTTGTCCCGAGGGAGTCGTAAGAGGTTACAGAACATAGTGACGTGTAGTGGCGATGTAAGAGTATCCACTATGACATATTTTCCACTATAACATAGTCTCCATTACATGTTGTCCCGTGGAAGTCGTAAGAGGTGACAGAACATAGTGACGTGTAGTGGCGATGTAAGAGTATCCACTATGACATAGTTTCCACTATAACATAGTCTCCATTATAACATATTGTCCCGTGGGAGTCGTAAGAGGTGACAGCACATAGTGACGTGTAGTGGCGATGTAAGAGTATCCACTATGACATATTTTCCACTATAACATAGTCTCCATTATCATGTTGTCCCGTGGAAGTCGTAAGAGGTGACAGCACATAGTGACGTGTAGTGGCGATGTAAGAGTATACACTATGACATAGTTTCCACTATAACATAGTCTCCATTATAACATGTTGTCCCGTGGGAGTCGTAAGAGGTGACAGAACATAGTGACGTGTAGTGGCGATGTAAGAGTATCCACTATGACATAGTTTCCACTATAACATAGTCTCCATTATAACATGTTGTCCCGTGGGAGTCGTAAGAGGTGACAGAACATAGTGACGTGTAGTGGCGATGTAAGAGTATCCACTATGACATAGTTTCCACTACAACATAGTCTCCATTACATGTTGTCCCTTGGGAGTCGTAAGAGGTGACAGAACATAGTGACGTGTAGTGGCGATGTAAGAGTATACACTATGACATAGTTTCCACTATAACATAGTCTCCATTACATGTTGTCCCGTGGGAGTCGTAAGATGTGACAGAACATGATCGATGTAAGAGTATCCACTATGACATAGTTTCCACTATAACATAGTCTCCATTACATGTTGTCCCGTGGGAGTCGTAAGAGGTGACAGAAGGAAACAAAGCAGGAGAGGGGCAGCAGTGTCTTTAAATAATAACTTAACCTCTTAAGCCCCTAGAGGTCTCATGAGACTGTGGTCATATTCCGTCAAATCCCTAGCAGTCTCATGAGGTCGCACCCACCCACAGCACTTTAACCCATAAAAACTTGTATATAGAGCCTACTTTTCTATGAAGAAGTTTGGCATTATATAATCAATATGAAATTTTCGGGATTCGGGATTTGCCGAGCGCATGCGACTGCATAGGATTTTAATGGCGCTTGAAGGGTTAAAATAAAAACCTAAGTTTGTCATCCCGCTTGCCAAGCGTGACTACGATGACAAATATCACCCCCCCCCCCCTCCCTACTATTGAAGCAATCTATGGGGAAGGCCTATGATCTCTAATGGACTTTAACAGACTAACTGTATCGGATATGGTTAAATAAAACAAATATAATACAAAAGGTAAACACAAAAATTTAATAGTTTAATACATCGAACCATTGATATAACATTTCGGCGTCTTTGTCGTAAATATACTCAATGCATTTGCTGTTAAACCATCTGCAAAATAAATTAAATTTTAAATTTATTTTACTATCTGTACAATAGATAGAATTCCTCTGCCATTTCTATTAAACTAAATGCAGGTACACTCCTGAATGGAGGCGCGGTGGAGACGCGACGCGGGTGTGTGGTGCACCCATACTTATATTTTTCTGGAGAAGGCCTCTCCCGTTGTATTGAAGATTTGATTTAATCACCACGCTCGGTCACCGAATTAAAGATTGCGAATCCAGCTCTCGCAACACTCGCAACTACTATCTACAAATGATAAATCTAAACCTATTATATTCCACAACTTTCAAATATATTACGCATCGTTGTCATAAAAAATAGAAAACAAAAAACTAACCGCAGTTTTTTATTTTCTATGCCAACCCGTCTGACAATCGTGGCAACTATAGCAAGTACCTTATGATGCAATCTATGGGGAAGGCCCATATTCATTCGGGGCAAGATCACGCGGCGGGTAATAGTTTGTAATAGCCCTCGAGATGATGCAGCTTAAGCCTATGGTCACGGAATTTAATGGTGCTCACGTCGCCAAACACGCAAACCGTAAATATTTCCTTTAATATTCGTGTCGAGGAAAAGTGTGTTGAAGGTACATGCAAGGATCTGAGTCAGTAAGTTTGTTACAATTATATAGTTCGGTTATTGTAGGGTCTATTTAACTGTTATTATATTCTCTAAAAACATAGACCTGTGTGTTGTGATTAATCATTTAATATTTTTGCTGATTGAGGTAAGAGTGTGCGGTTAAGATTACGCACACGTATATCAAGTAATGGCCTGTACTTACTACTCAATACATGAAAAATATCTAAAACTATTTTTGAAAAAATACTTTCAGAATATAGCAAACGCCAAGATACTATGTAAATCAGACACCACAACGAGCCCTTATCTTATATCAACAAATAATAGACCCGAAAAATCTAATTCAAGAAAGAAAAGTCGAGAGACATGTTGCAGGAGATGTTGGTACCATCAGCATGGCCTGGTAACCTGGCAACATCATTAAAAAGAGGTTAATTAGTTAAAGTTAAAGATACTAAAGTTTCCGACTAGTATATACACAGTAATCTATGGTTTCCGATAATCTCAAGGTTTAATAAATTTTGATTATCACCCACATTTATTTTATTTTACTATCCTATCACCTAATTTACCTAGCACGCGAAATTTTACCCCAAGGCTTGCATAATTTTACCCGCATGTCAGGTCAAGAGTAGAAAAATTAACTAATCTTGGATGTACATTTACTGAAATAGTAAAAATATATACCTAACTAAAATTCTCTACAAATTTTATATCTTATTAACTCCGATATCTCATTTTCTATAGTTCTTTAGGACCATAGAATATAAAGTGTGATCTATTGACCCAAATGACCCTAACAGTAATGATAATTATATTACATTGCCCGAACCTCAACCTTGAAGTCTTCACTTGGGATCAAATGCAGCTACCCTCTTTCATATAAATCGAACAGAGTCGACTGAATTCGTGCACCGCTATTGCTACTGTGACTCTTAAAGCTTATTTAAATATAATTCTAAGAAAATTTGATTTTAATAAAAAGTACAAGCCACTTTAAAGGTCTAAAAATAGTGTTCACATAATAGCTTCTGAAGTTGATGCTAAAATATAGAATGTATGTAGCCGCGACTTCAGAAGTTGTTGAGTGGATTAAGGAATATTACAAGCACTAAATAAGTTTCATTAAAAGCTTCGTCTCTTATGTTCCACCCCTAGATCTGACAGTTTTTCTTCAAGTTTATATGGGACTGCCCCTGAAGTTATTTTTTTATAGGATACGGGTGACAAACGAGCACACAGTCCACCTGATGATAAGTGGATGTTGTAGCCCATAGACTTCTACATCTATCCTCGATTACGAATCAAAATGCAGATGCGTTGTCACCTGTGAGGACTAAGATGGAAAGCCGAGTTTCCAGTAAAAAAGGTCTGCGGTTCTCTACACTTACTACAGGAAATGCAGCAGCGTTAAGATGCTATTTCACGCTGGTATACTGTGAGAGCGTGGTCCTTCCCCGGTCGAGCCGACCCATTCGTGCTACATCTACTAATATAGCCGCAGCGCGGTTCTAACACGTAAAAAACGCTTCATAATTCACTTCTCCATACCATCCTGTGGGTATCGACAGAGGCGACAGAGGGAAAGCGGCAGCGTTTTCTTGATTATCTAGGCTTAAATTTTAAAAAAAATCAGTCACCTGTCAAGCGTGGCAACAATGGCAAATGTCACCCCTATGAGGCAGTCTATGTAGGAAGCTTATGTTCAGCAGTGGGCTCTTGATGGCTGTAACGGTAACAAGAAATGGTATGCTCACCCTCCTCTCGTATTGCATCCTGTAACGGGATAGTCTTTCTTATAACATTTGGTACCAATAGCGTTGAAATATATGGTTCCAATTTTATTTGCCATTGAAGTGTTAGCGCTTCTAAGGCATTGCCTGAAGACATCGTCGCATGAACAATGTAATCTAAAAAACGTACATAACTCCTTTTAAAGGCATAGAAAAAGATGGTGCTAGAAAAAACATAGGTAAGGTTTACAATTCGGTCGCCTGAATTGGGGGGTGGAGGGTGGTATGGGGGGAGGGGGAGGAGTTGTAGAGTCACCCCCTACTTCCCCTTCCTGCCGGACGTGCTTAGTTTTTTTTATAAATTTTTAAAAATCTCATTTTGAGGTTATGTTTCATAATTTTTATGACAATTTTAACCCGATTTATGGGGAGAGAGAGTTGGGAGACGGCAGCCCCACGCCACTTAACGTGGTGCAGTCGAGGGAAGTCCGGTCGACGGAGCTCCGCTTCGTGGGGCTCCTACTTCTAAGTGGTTTACAAAAAAATAACCACGAAGAGGATAACGGGGTCTATTCGCTCGCTTCGCTCGCTCACTTGACCCCGGCATCCCCTTCTAACCTAACCTGTCCGAGTCGGGGTGCCCCACGTCCCAGGCTCGCTTCGCTCGCTATAGCACTCGATATAACACCAAAATATTAACTTTTTATATTATAACTACTTTATTTTATAAACATAATTAATGGCTGCCACCATTTGTAGGAAAGGTTCTTTGCGATATTTAGCAGTATTCCGCCGCCACAAATATTCCACTATTCACCAAAATTCTGAAACTCGGAAGCAACAGCATAACGAAAAGCTGTCAACAAAATGGCCGGCCTAGCGATTAATTTTACACATTTTTAAATCGATTCAAATCGAAATTGGATGAATCGATACACAAAAAATCGAAATCTTAAATATCGATTTCGCTAAAATCGATCCTTTTTTGATTTGCGTTAAAAGTTTATATTTACAATATCAAAAGATACAATAAAGTACAGATAACATTGAATGATTGAATAAAACTGTCATTCTTTATGAGTTGGGGTTCATTAAACTAATTGTAAATAATTTTACAAATCTTATTAAAACAGAGATTCGATCTCGATTCTCTACGGTGAAATATCGATTCACTAGATCGATTCAGTACTATATATCGATATGACATTGACAGATGAAATGTCAAAAACGTAATTAATTTGTCATTTACCAACTATAATTCATAAAAGATAGCTTGATCTCTGCGACAGCTGTCAGTAAAAATCACGCCTATGAAGTCCTGAATTTCTTAGTAGTACAGACAATACCTGTCAATGTCGTACTTTATGGGCATGCCGACCTAATTAGTACATGCCCATAAAGTATGACATTAACAGGTACTGTCTGTACTACTAAGAAATTCAGGACTTCATTAGCGTGATTTTTACTGACAGCTGTCGCAGAGATCAAGCTATCTTTTATGAACTATAGGCAGGACTACGGCACCACTACTTCCAACACCACTATTCCAGGTAAGACACACCATCGACGACAATACGACACGTGTTTCGCCTCTACATGAGAAATCCTCAGGTGATGTAGACTCTACGGCGACTGACGGCTAAGTAAGTAAGTAGACTAAAACCTTACCAAAAACATCTAACTTTAACAAAAACACATTTTTATCATGTACGTAAACTTAGCCGACAACCAGCAATCGAAAAGTTTAACAATCGAAGTAATTATTTTATTATAACTATCCACAAATATGTAAGTGTTAATTATTTTATTTGTTTTTCACCTAAAATAATTTAATTAAAAGAAAAAAAATCATTTTAATCAATTTGGTATGGTACTTTTTTCTTATATGTACAGCTTGATGCGATATTATGCTACATTTGAACTTAGAAGAAGAATTTTACATGAGAGAAAAATTCTATTCTATGACAAAAACAAAAAATTTCGATCCACTAAGAAGTCTGCAGATCTACAGATATTTTGAAATAGCATCTACAAATTTCTATGGAAGTTTTTATACCAATCTAAATTCGAGTTTTTAACACTGTCGCACCGTTCGATGTAGTGGTGCATAAGCATATAATCTGTAGTCTGCATTATGTGATCTCTACCTTCATTTTTAAATATTATTTTTGGTCCAATATTAGAAATTAATATGTAAAAATAATTATATAAATTCTAATCAGAGAATTAATATTCAAAAGCTGAAGGTAGCCCGTGTTAGCGATGACATTGGGACGTCAAACGTCTCAGTACCCGTATGACCATGGATGCTGTAAAGTACCCGAAACGTCTAGAATTAAAAATAAGCTAGATTAAACGTGATATATTCCATATAATTAGTTTTTTATTTAAAAATATTAGTATTCAATTTAAAATTCAATATTCTTTGTGATTATTTCTTATACTTTGTGATGCTTGCAAGCACCGCATAAAATCCATCATCTCATCTTTTTCTGTTGGACGTAGCAAGAAAATATTTAAAATCTTGTCAAAAATATAGAGACGTCTTTGCTGATGATGATGATGATAAATCTAGATATATAACTTAATTCAGTGCTAATTTTATAACTGTATTTTTTTCAGTTTTCTTTTTATCCTTTCGGATTCGTTTTTTTTATTAGCGAATATAACAAACATACTAAAATAATTAAAAATACAACATTATAAAAGGAAATTAAATTTGTATTCTGTTCTTAAAAAGTAATGAAATTTCATCATATAACGCTCACGAAACTAACCGAGTAAAGAAAGATTCATTGGTCAGGTTGTGTTTGGTCTCTCCAGCGGGAATAATGTCTGCACAATAGTCATGCTGCCTGCAGCACTTGTCCGTTTCTACTTCCGTTCCAAGGTCGTCATAATCGCTCGCATCACTTCCGGGCCCACACCAATTCGTACCTACATAAAAAATAGAGAAAGATAATAATAATCATAGTAATAATAATGTTCTACAGACCGAATTTCTATCACGGCTACCAGTCTCAACAGAGACTATCCAGCTGCGCAGGACAGGATTATAGTTCTCAAGTGTATTCGCAAGCACAGGTGCACTCTCTGTTCTCTCACTCTCAAAGTCCGATGGGACGTTAATTCGACACGACCGGAGAGAGATCGGACCAACCGTTTTACGTGCTTTTCGAGGCGCGGGGTTCAGACACCGCCAACTTCCTAACTCCGACCTGATGCTGAGAATTTCTTGACAAAAACCCAATAAGTGATTTTGACCCGACCCGGGATTCGAACCTGGGACCTCACGATCAGCAATCGCGTTTTACGACTACTAGACCAGGGAGGCAGTCAAGACAATTATTAATAAGAATTTGTATACTATCATATCATCCTGTGAGAGTCGTGAGAGGCGACAAGGGAACCTAAATCAGGAGATGGAGTACAGCAGTATCTTCCTAAAACAGTTAAAAAAACGCAACTGCCAACTGCAGTTGCCGACCCGCTTGCCAAGTGTACCAACAATGGCAATTATCACATATGAGGTAATCTATCTAAGCAGTGTTCATCAGTGGTCCTTTGAAAGGCTTAATGGTACAGTGGTAATGACTATCATGTAAATGACTGTGCAAAATGCTCAGACTTGTTGGAGTACATTTGTTTCTACGAGGAACAGTATTCTAACTACGATTAAATATTCGTTATAAATTTGTATCAATTTAATTCAAAAACATGTTCGCCATTGTCAGAAAAGGCCGTTGCCAGCGTGACGAGTAACGGCAAATATTAGTGCGCATTTTTGGAAATGTTTCTGTCCAGATGTGGACCATAAAGGATATTAAAGAAATGTAAAAAAAATAGTTATCTTTCATTTTGGAACTACCGTCAGTCATTTTTTGAACGTGACACGTAACTGACACGGCAGCTAACGGATTAATACAGTAGAACTGTTCGATGGAATTTGGAATAATTGGCCGCTAATTACCGCTATTAAGCATTATATACAAAGATTTATAAATATCCTTGCAACATTTTATGAACAACGGTTTCATATACAGTTGTACTTATTTGATGAATTTTTTATGATTACCTACATTATCAATTTTAAGTAGGCCACACAAACGCTATAGTAATCATAAAAATTTACCAAATCCGAAATATATAGTAACCTATATTCAAAATAAATTTTAAATATCTACAGTCATAATTTAGTTAATAAATATATATTTGAGATCTACAAATGTTATCTTAGTAACTTGTTTCTTCATCTTCTCTTTATAGCAGTTACGCTTCATCCGCCAATAAAATGTTTAGTGGAAATAGTATACAGAAAAACACAGACTCCGGATAGGATAACGTTACAAGAAAAAAACTATTTGTTGATTTACTTCAAGTTAATTCGGTTCTCTTTTTATCATCTCTTTTCGGTAGGATACTTTTATTATAGAATTATCACAGTGTGAGGCATTTTATTCTTTTATCTTTAATAGTATTTTTCATTTCATGAAATTTACGTCCGTATATCCGATGCGGTTGTTCCATGCTTAGACTTAGCCAAATTTTCTCTTACGCAGACGCCTTCAGAACTCGTCGACGTCAACAAAAGAAAACTGGAGCACGCTTACTTTTTAGTATTTCATTTAAACGATTTTCTCAATTTTATGAATTTCATCTCTAAGGTCAAACTTGTTATCAGTAACAGACTTACGATTATCAGTGTACTAAAAAAATACTTTATTTTGAATTAAAAAAAACGTTAGCCCACACCATTGAAGTAATATGTACTTACGTACTAGAACAGCTATCTCAAACAAAAAGTGTGCGCTACTCTATGTTCGCGCGTTTGGTTTTTTTATCATAAAATAAACATAGGTAGAATGATCCGTAGGTAATAGTAGATTGTATTGTTAAATAGGTAAATTATATCGAGAACAATATTTAAATTCATCAATCAAGTCATTTATTTTGTATATTATATTTGTTTATTTAATATAATATTACATAATATTATATCACAATTACATTTTAATGATATTTTTATCTGAATATTTTAAAAGGTATCTATGTCAAATATATAACAAAACTTATTAACATAAAATTTAAATTACAAATATATTTATTTAAATTAGAATCAGAAATGTTGTAAATAATCGTTCATAAATGCTGGGCACGCGAGAGTTAAAAAAAGGACGAATTTATTACACTTTGACTTTGAAGTGGAAACCTAAAACTAAAATAAAATAATAATAAGCAAATTTAAACATGAAAAATTTAGCCTAATTTAATATCTTATATATGTTTCCACAAAAAAATGTGTATAATAAATATATTCATCCTATACTTAATTATCCACAAAAATGTCACATCTGAACATATTAATTTCATAATCTATAATCCCTGATACGAGATGGCTTTTTAGGAATAATTTGTTTTATTATTAATTTATAATACTTTTTTATTGATTAAGTATCTTATTAACCGATGAAAAGTAATTCCTTGGTTTTTACTGACATTTCTTGAATTATTTGTGCAATACCTAAGTACACAAGACGGCATATTTTTATCAAGAGGTTTTTTTTTAAATCAACACAACATGTGACAACTCTACAAGCGCCTAGCGAGCGACTGATAAAAGTGCGGTGCGTGCACCGCAGTTGAGTGGAACAGAGTAGCTGAATGCAGTGTCTCCTCTAGTACGTAGTACATAATAGCTCAATGGCCCACACTAACAATTTACTTGTGTGTAGTGTAATGGCCTTTTACATACAATATGTGCAGAAAGACAATCCAGACCCGGAATAAATATATGTAGACCATACCAATAATTGTTCCACGCGGGTTTCGAATCCATGGAATATATACTCGTAATACCGCAGTAAAACGTTACATCACTAGGTTATTGATGCTAGGTTTCCACGGAGCAATATTTACTCGCGCCCGCAGCTGTAGCGTGACATCGACATGCGTAGACTATAAGAAATGCAGGTATGATAATAAGACGATAGTAAATTTCACGACGCGATTTATGCCCGCGACGCGTGCGGCTGTTTGCGGCTGTTGCTATACCAACAGACAATTAGGCCCGGTTTACATTTTGAGAAGTGACAAGTGCGAGTGGCAAGTGCGAGTGGCAAGTGCGACTGACAAATGACAAGGGCTTAGTGCCCTCTTCTAATGCCGGCTGTACACGCCCGTCTCGTCGCCTTGCGTGCCTCTCGTCGTGTTGAGGCTCGACCCGTGAACACACCATGTACACACTTTGTATCATTTTAATTCCGTATGCCCGCTGAGATGCACTTTGATAAAACTGTTGCTGCGTTTTGCCTTTGTGCTATTAGTTATTATAACTTTTGACACATTTATCATAAAAATAAAATTAATAAGCCACGGCGAAGAAGAAGATGGTGGATGGTTTTATTTTAAATAGCAAAATATAGATTATGTATATTTTGCTATTTATAATAAAACCTACTACTAGCGACATCTCGTACCAAAGTGTGAACAAATGTTGTCTATGTGATTCTTTACTTTTCTCTTTTGAAAATATTTACCGGAACTGAACCATGTACGGTGAATATTATGTAGTACGCTCTCATTTTCATCGCGAAACTCACGAGACCCTTTGACTCAAGCGAAAAAAAAAGACACGCTTCCGAGAGCGCACGAGGGCCACAAGACGCAACGCGACGCGACGAGAGCACCATGTACACACTCGTACTCGGCCTGTCTCGTGGTGTCTCGACGAGCGTGTACAGCCGCCATAAAAATGTAAACAGGGCCTAAGGCCCCAGTATCACGCAGGCCGTAGTGCAAACGTTTTCTGAAATCATTAACCGCAGGGATGCGGACCTTGGGGTGCGAAGTCAGAAGTCCTCCACGTGTGCCTGGTAGTTGCGAGTCCCTCTCGATACGTCTGGAGGGAAGAGCAGCAACTGGGCCGGTGCACCCTGGGCGCGGCGGTAATCTTCCTCGAGAAATGAGAAGAAATTCTTATTCCTTGGGGAATGTTGCTGCCGCGGCTAATTATTCTGACATGGGGGGGGGTCCATCCCGGACCAACAGTGCGTTCCTCTGCGTGACCCTCTGATCAGCAGAGGGCATAGCAGAGGAGCGAGGGCGGGCTCGGTGTGCACTTACCCTGCCTCCGGGCAGACAGTGAAGGATTCATCCTTTGCTGTCACCGCCGGTCTCGTAATCCCAGTCGAAGTGTCGTGGATCATGTCTCGCGGCTTTGATAAGGACCGAGGGTCTTGGCTTAATCGCCCGGACCGCGAGGGAGAAAACCTCTATAAAAAGTTACCCCGAATCCCAAGCGGCGACGCACCGCGAGGGGATGGATGGCTGACGGGGTTCTATGAACAAATCAGCCGCAAGTGCGGTCCTCGCCAGGGTACCTGCAGACCCCCCTGGCGAGTAATAAATCCTCTAAATCTGCTTACCTTGGTACAGGGGTCTCTGCCAAGGTGGACGTTTAATTCCCCCATAATCGTGGGTACAAATATGGAAAAAAAACAAACAAACAAAAAAGTAGAGGAGAGGAGGAACGATGCGGGGACAGAGTCCGACGCCGCATCGAGCAGCGTGGGAGGCCCAGAGAGCTCCCGACGTGTGGGGCCTGGGACCGCGGAGAACAGTAAGTTCTTCCGCAAGCGGTCCAGGCGGGATGGCGACCAGGGGCCATCATCCGGTGAAGACGAGGTCTCGGCCCGGAAAATCCCCACCAACGGGCGGGGCGGGCTGAGAGGCAAGGGGAATGCCAATCAGAGGGCCGAACGAGCGGCAAAGCTTGCCGAGGAGGGGCGCCACCCGGGCGATACGGTATCAGGCGAAGAGACGAGTGCGACTGGCGGCTCCGATGTGGAGCGTAAGGCCAGATTCGTAAAGGAGGTGGAGGCCGCGATCAAGGTCGTGGCCAACAAGCAAAAGCCCGCCTCGAAGTTTAAGGCCATTCC